TAAAAAGTAAGTTTAAATACGTAAATGACGTAATGTGACCTGTGAATTGTCCATGGGCGGCGCTGATCGCTTACCATCAGGTAATCCGTCTGCTCTTTTGCCTCCTAAGTCATAAAAAAATGTAAGAAGGTATTTTTAAAACAACCTGTTTATTCTAAACGAAGAGATTAAGAGAGAGTAATATTAATACTATTAAACGAGACCACATTCGGCGTTCTGATTGGTTGGTTCATTAAAGCCGGCCAATCAGAGCGCCCAACGCGGTCTCGTTTCGATTTCTTTAAAAGTAAAACAAACTCGTTCTAAGCCTTCAGGTGAAATGTCATAACAAACTAAGTTAAAAGTGTGTCAATATAAAGTTTGGGATCATTTAAGTGTGACAAGGGGCCAATTTCACACTCAATATGTAGGGTCTAACAGGAACCCACAATTTTCCTTCTGGGGTCCTGATTTGCGGGTAGTTTAATGGCGGATAAACCATACGAGTGCTTACTGAGGCATAAATATAAATTGCCACTTCTAACTGCTACTGATGTTGTGATTGTTGTCTTGTGTGTGTGTTTTGGGTTCGAGTTGTGATATAATATGGCTCTCTTCTTTTGTTTGTTTTTATTTTGGTTCGACAGTTGCAAAAATTTTGGCGAATTGTTCTAACAATGTGTGAAGTGGTTTTATTTTATAATAAATAAAATTAATGAATTATTTTATGATTTATTATATTATGACCTTTCATACAAAAATCGGAGGTAATATTAAATAATAAATAACAAATTCGCATCTTTAAACTGTCAAACACCAAGCGGTCACCGGTGACCGCAACCTATTGTTCTATAATTGTGTCTACAAAACCGGTACTCGACGAGTTAAAACTCGAAAACGGCTGAACAGATTTGGCTGGAAGTCCAGAGAAGGTTTAAAAGGTGAGAAAAAATTTTTAGGCAGTACAAAGTTTTCTGGGGTCAGGTAGTCAATGAATATATTATCTTCAACAACTAAAATCCAACCTCTCAATATTAAAAACACATTAACTAAAATCATTCACTTCAAAAACAAAATCATCGCCTTCCAAATTGAAAAGCTTTTAAACTGATTCAAATTAATTCGTAAACGTCCAGCCGGGTGAAATGTCGGCCATATTAAGTGTCCAGAGAATCAGAAAATTAGGTTAATAGTGCCTGGCGTATGGCAATGGATTGTGCCTGGAACGTGGCAATAGATTGCATGTAATTAGGAGTCTTGCAAATGACAGAAACTAATGCATTTATTGCAAGAGAAAGATGATTAATATGCTGAATCACTCGAGTATATAATATTACTAGCTGTTACCCGCGACTTCGTTCGCGTGAAATTATTCATATTTTTTGTTAATTTATACTTATTTGACGCAACAACGTGTTGATTGGCGAGGCGTATTTGAGAGCTAGTATGAAACGGAACGTTTATTGTCTACTCAAGTTGGCGACTGCGGTTTGTCTGTCAGTGTCACTAAAATGAATTAATAAATCGAAATAATCTCCGTAATTCAAATTTTGCGGATAGGTATAATAATATGTTTTCGACTCGAAATCGATATTTTTTTATGTTTTGTTATTTACGTAATGTTTCGATCCAGTCTACCGTACCCCTTGACGAAATTATTAATATTATAGAAGATATGCCAAGACAGCATTTTCTTAATAGATGAAATTAAAATGTGAATAATTTTGTTACCTCAATTAACATTGAAAAATGTATTAGACATTGTTTGTATGTTTTTGACAATTGAATGTTAAATACGAATGTTTCGAAATTAAAGTTACTTTTAACATATATAATATAATTTTTTTAATTTCATCGCTCAAAATGTACTTGGATGAAATAAGACCTCTTTCAACTTTAGGCTTCACCACATATCATATGCTTAAATGAAGACTGTACCTATATAATATATTTACCTATTGCCCGAATACTGAAAGACCACACAATTTTTTGTCGCGCTTAAGTATACTTTTGTCACTACATAAATAAAATAAATAAATAAAAGAGCCTTTTATTTCATGCATAATCGTTATCAATACATCAATTATTTATTGCAATTTATACTTCACTATATAATTATAATTTTTTTTTTGTAAGAAATATAAGGCTTTTTTATTTTTTTTTATTTATGGATGCTACAGAGGAGCTTTTAAATAAACTTGAGCGATTGCAAAATGTTTGTATCCGCTTTGTCTTTGGTTTAAGAAAGTACGACCATGTTTCCGTATTCCGCAATAGGCTCAAGTGGCTTCCGATCCGTCTTCGCAGGAACACTCGCATTTTATGCTTCCTATATAACATCCTCTTCAACCCTGCCTATCCTGCTTACCTTCGGGACCGTTTCTCCTTGGTTCGTCCTCCTGAAGTCCTATCTCGTTCACACCTTAAATCTAATCTTAAAATCCAACCCCATAATACCGATTTTTATTCCTACTCCTTTTCCGTTCATGCAGTGAGACTGTGGAATGCGCTCCCGCCTAACATTCGGGACGCTGAGTCTATCGCTATCTTTAAAAAACGAGTGAGAGAACACTACCTTTCCTCCTGATATGTAAATTTCTTCATTTATATGTATAGTTTATATTTTGTATGTATTTATTTATGTATTGTATGTAGTTGTTTGGTTATTTATCTGTTAGTTTTAAGTCTGTTTCCTATCCCAATTTTCTATTTGTTACTACACACTGTGTCATTATATTATTATTACTTTTCCTGCTCCAGGTCCACAGGAAGAAATTCCAATAGGAATATGTGGTACCTTTGTACTTTTATTTTATGTATGTGTTGTCCTTTATATTGTATGTGTGTACATAAATAAATAAATAAATAAATAAATAAATAAATAAAAACAAAATACACAAACATCCTTTAAGAAAATGAGATCATTCTTTAAATATATGACTTCTACATTTATTCTAGGAAACTCTGACGGATAACAAGGAAAAGTAATGTTAACAATAAGAGTCACTTTAACTCAGCAAGGTATGAAAACAAGTTGGCTCGTTATACGGATTTATGATCTTTTAAAATTAAAACTACAGTCAAAAATATACACTTCTTAGGTTTTATTACGAAGGCTTCTAAATTATACGCTAAAATACCTGTGTTCGCTTAAGATTTAGTGCTTTAGGTTCCATGTAGTATCTATATAGGCTTGGGAAGCAAAGTTTAAAAATTTATTATAATCTATAAACAGGGTGTCCAATAATTAATGGATAACCTTGAAATGTCTTATATCTAGTATAATTTATGGCCGTCCTAAAAAAATACTAAACAAAATATAAGTAGTAAGTACCTTTGATTTTTAAAGAAAAGTCAATTTTTTTAGTACTCCTACATACTATCCTGATTACTACGACTTAAAATTATTCAATTGTATTTTATCGTTTTATTATTATGTGCTAACTGTTCTGATAGATAGAAAGTAAATAGTATGACTAGCTAATGCTTATTTTTATGAAACATACACAAACTAATTTATTTCTATATGCGAAATAAATTAAATCTGGTTAACGTGGAGGCCACATAATTGGCCATAGGTGCCCGATCTGTCTATTTGTACATCTTCTATTCAAATATGCACGAACCGGTACAGCATAATTTATGCAGGACTTTTTTTCTAAGGGGGGAAAATCATCGAATGACTGCTCCCGCCTGGGTGAGGTGGGAGGGAGTGTCAGACTCTTACTGACTAAAAACCACCCCGTTCATTCTCCTGTGCTTCGAGCCGGAGCCCCGGAAACCCTTAGGTTCTCCGCGACAATATGCAGGACTACCATCATTTTGCAGCCAATTCGATCACTTTAATTTATAGTGATTTAGTTTAAAGTCGGCGTGTGTGCCAAGCGAAGTCGATCGGCAAAGTTTAAAAAATAACATAACTATACATTTTAACTCGTCGAGTACCGGTTTTATAGACACAATTATAGAACAATAGGTTGCGGTCACCGGTGACCGCTTGGTGTTTGACAGTTTAAGTAGCTTGCTTTTCGAAATTAGTATCACGTTGCGTGAGCTCTTAAGGTTAAAAAAATTCATGTGACAAATATTTTACTCAATTTTAATTGTTCACTTTGGTAAGTGCGATTACTGTTGAGCGTGTATATTCAGTGAATCATTAAACTGTTATTATTGGTTCGATCTCTCATGATTGATAACAATGAATTGGACGATCGGATCGCGTGTTGTTGTTTTGCAAATAATTAAGAACCAGCTTAAGTTGATCCCTGCTTTATTTCATAGCCCAATATTGGACAAAATTAGTTTTCTGACTACCTTTGCTGAAAATTAATGTCAAAGTCAAAGTCACTGCCTGCCTGACTGCCTCGTTGGCCGAGTGGTCGCAAGTGCGACTGCCGGGCAAGGGGTCTCGGGTTCGATTCCCGGGTCGGGCAAAGTATTACTAGGTTTTTTAAAAAGAATCTCAGTAGTTGCACGGAGTCTGGAATTTTGCTCGGTATATGGCAATAGGCTCACCCCCTATTACATGGGACTCATAACATAAATAGTGAAAAGTGGGTGTTATATCTGTGTGCAACTCTGCTTACCCCTTCGGGGATTAAAGGCGTGATGTTATGTTATGTTATGTTATGTCTAAGCATGCTTTTAATATTGTTCTAGTCAGCCGAATTGAATAAGTCTTAATAAGTATTAACTTCAACATCAAATAATGTTTATTTCATTATCCCACAAATATGGTTTCAATATTCATGACGTCAAGTGCTAATTTCACCCAGCAAAAAAAACCGTTTGTTACTACTACTTACAGTTTTTGTTTACACAATTTAGTTAAAAAAGTATTCATACCCTACGAGAGCTCAACTAAGACTGGACACGACAACTAATAATCTCTTCGCAAATAAAATAGAAAAAACTACAATATCGACGATCAGATAATGTTTTATCACACGATAACTTCGCCATATTGAAAATAGTACTTATTGAATATGAGTACATTAAGTGATTTGTAATTTATACTTTCAACATGTCAAAGACAAATTACGGACAGTTTTTACGAAATACCAATCTAATTTTGCCCAAGCAACCGAACCATGACGTAAGTGCTTGTAAAATATTTTTTATCCAGAATATTATTAGTCTTCTTATTATCAGCCGGTCTCTGTGTTACTGCGGGCCAACACCGAGAGGTTTTTGCTCATGCAAATACATAGAAAGTAGAGAGTGGAAGATAAATACATTACTATAATTAAAAAAAGTGTAAATAGTAAATAAGTAAAATTTTTTATTGTTTAACTGTATAATTTTTGGCTTGTGCTGTAAAATTATACATGTGCTTATAAATAAATAAATAAATAATTATGAGGTAGTAGAGCCATGCTTCGGCACGAATGGGCCAGCTTGACCAGAATTATACCACGTCCTCACAGCAAATTTTGGCGTCGTGTTTCGTCGTGTGAGTGAGGTTAGCGGAGGCCCAATTACCTCACTAATCTCCCCAAACCCCTAATCTCCAAGAACCCTCAAATTAATAATCAAATTTTAGATTTTTTAATATATTAGAATTTCTAATACCCAAAAGGCTGGTAACGCACTTGTAACGTCTCTGGTGTTTCATGTGTCCATGGGCGGTGCTGACTGCTTACCATCCGTCGGCTCTGTCCCCAGTCCGGTGATCCGTCTGCTCGTGCGTGTTGAAGGTGCCAAAAATGAGACGCAAAATTTACTTGATTTTTATGACTGAGAATTTTAAAATGCTAACAATAATACTTTGCCCGACTAAGAGACTACAGTCAATAGTAAAATAACGAATTTTATATTTTTCTTTACAAAAAGCTACGGTTTTCCCATACAGGAGTTCTTGATGGTAATGGAAAATGTATTCCGATGCTCTTGCCTCATTGGTGTTCTTGGGGCAAAGAAATGGATCTGCTACGTTTGGAGTGCTTTCATACTGATTGTGTTGCTGGTGATGGAGTCACAGGCCATCTGGAAGGTTATCAAAGCTCTGGCTGGATGGGCTATAGATACTGCTGGACAGAGTAAGAGTACTATGTATTTTATTAATATTCTCTAACTATGGAACTATATGATGAGGAAGAAGTACTCCAACTTCTCTGTTTTATCTGAAAATAATGCTATTAATGTAGGAAAGAAAGAAACAAAGAAGATTTGATTTCATGTTTATTGATATTCTTTTGTTTTTTTTTTTTACATTCCACTGATAACACGTTAGTCACAATATGAATAAAAAAATATCAACAAAGTATTTCTAAGAAAGAAAAGATAACAGCTCTTAAAAAGCCAAAATGTTTCTTCCTTTTCTTCAGTAAATAAATTTAGTATAAGTTAACCAACCTTCAATCACAGTTTCTTTATGTATTCACACTATATTCTAGGAAGCGTAACAGCAAGACTAGCAGGAACCATCTTCTACACCATAGCGATTATATCCTTGATCCTAGCCTCGAAGCTGTTCAGATCTTGGGGAGAACTCTCAGCACTATGGGTTAGAGTGGAACGAGTAATGGCAGTAAAGGTCCCAAGTGATGGAACTTTGAAGAGGAGAATGTATTTCATCATTGGTTTTATGACTGTTTGTTCGTTGCGTAAGTGCTTGTTAATAATTTTAAGTAGATAGAAGTGAAGTAGAACGACCATGAAAATTAAAAAAAAAATACATATATACATTTTTTTATATCCTTGACCTCATTAACTTCTTTATTTAAAAACTCGCCCATTCTTCCTCCTTCTAATTCTCCAATGAGAAAAACGAGCTTCTCCTCTGATGTGGCTGGTATCTTTGGACTGCAGCAATTGCTTACCACCAGGTGATCCAACTGCTAGTTTGCCACCATATCCTATATTTAAAACATCCTTACGTATAAATTTATCAAATTAATTTTGTTATTTGTTAATATTTGTTTCGGTTACAGTGGAACATTTATTGAGCATTGTATCTGCCATTGGACTGGATTGCCCGTCGTATTTGATTATTAAGCGATACATTCTGATTTCCCATGGTTTCATGATATTGAGGCGTAAGTAATCGTGTTTATGAACTGCACTATACTTACGCATTTAAAAAAAAATTTCTCTAACAGACATAATTAATATTAACTTTTCAACTGCTATACTTTTTATAATAACTTTCGTGAGACATACTAAATTAACTAAAAATCACGGATTACTCAATAGGCTGCACGACATCGCTACAACCACCCACGCTGCTCATGAGGAAGAATCACTCTGTGTTCGAAACTGGTAGAGCTGTTCTTAGTGTTTTCACTGCTATACTATTTTTCAGATGAATACTCAGACTGGTACGCCATACCTCTAGCCTTTATGAGTACAATTGCTACAATGCTGTGGAATTTCCAAGATCAGCTGATAGTTCTCATCAGTATGGGATTGACTTCAAGATACAGCAGACTTAACCAGTGTCTAGCTAAAATATGCGCGCTAGAGAAGAAGCAGATGGATTCTGATCAAGTAAGGATATATTACAAATCGTAATATAACATCACGCCTTTTTATGCCCGAAGGGGTAGGCAGAGGTGCACATTACGGTACTTAATGCCACTGTAAGGACAATGTAACACTCACTTTTCACTATTTATGTTATGAGACCCATGTAATAGGGAGTGAGCCTATTGCTACCGCTAACCGGGCACATTTCCAGACTCCGTGTTACTACTAAGATTACAAATGCATTTGATTGATGATGAGAATAAAATGAACTATCACAAATCAAAATCAGTGAATTGTTACGGGGGCTTGACAAAAGTACCTTAAATACTATCCACAGTAGATGATTGAATTCACTTAAAGATATCCAATTACACGAATAAAAATCTTTACTAGATCATCAGATCGTGTCGTTCGGTGACTGAATCTTTGATCTTATTAATTCTCAACGAGGCAGTCATATTCAGTGTTTTCAAAAACTAAATACATAAACGTTAACCAATACAACAGTTCAAGAATGTCGAACACACAAGCCCAATGGAGTTTAGCATAGTAAGTATACCGCAGAAAATGACAGAGCATGAATCTAAAAAATACGGATAAATCTCCTAAATCTCAATCAAAGCCAATTAGGAAGACGTCCTATTAAAATCCTACCTTCAACTTGAGACAAAGAACTCGCCCACGCTTCCACTTAATTTAGTCGTCTTGTCTAATGACCATTATTACTGTAGTCAAAGCCACGTAACCAATGTTTCCATTTCAGATTCCGATATAATCAACTATTGTTAATTAAAATCAAACGATGTGAAGCGACCCTTTAGTACCGTGGTTTGCAATGCTAAAATTAATTTTGGAAGCTATTTAAAGACGTTAGTTGGGATCAGGACCTTCGTCCCTTAAATAATTGTTTCATGAAGACTTTAATCAATCTGTTTGGGACAATATTAGCTTTATTAAGTGTCGATATATTTGATTTGAACTTGACAGGTAGATGTCTAATTTATTTGCAAAAGGAAATGTAGGTATTTATTGAATTAGGGTTTCCAAAATGGAATACACTTAGTAATACACACGAGTAGCATTACAAAAAATTTAAATCTATGTGATCCTCAATTACAGGCCACAACATGCAAAAAATTATAAAAATATACGTAAAACTGACAACAGTGAACATTAAAAATCAAAATTAAATCAATTTGCTGAGAACAAAACACAGCTGTACCTTAAAACAATATCTATAAATGTCAAAAATATGGCACACTTCAAATAATACATATCAGACAATTCATAACAATGAAATGTCGAAAATAATCAATTGAACATAGTCAAGTTGAAAATAATAGTAATAAAGAAACAATAAAGAAAAAATAATCCATTATAATAAAATAAGAGAAATAAGAGAAGAGAGAGGGAGCTATTGAATAACCTGAATAGGTAATAATAAAAAATCATAGTCACTTTCATATTTACCTACTTCTACTAAAGAAATATAAAATCAGTGTATACAAGAATACTGAAGTGAAATTACGTAAAATCACAGCAAACACTTTATTTTGTTACCTACAATTATTGTGTAGTCACAGAAAGAACGGTACACTTTAAACGACAGGGGCGCCACCTGGCAAGTGCAAATTGCAGTCATTTAAAGCAAACTGCAATTTGCACGCAACAAGCAAAGCATATAAATAGATTGAACAAAATAGAAAAAATGTTACACTCGAAGTACATGTACCATAAAGTATTTAGTGCTGAATATCGATCTATTTGAGAAAATTAAGCTGTTCGGATGAATATCGTGGATTTAAGTAACAAATGCCGCTACTTATCGCCCGACGCCCTTAATGGAGCGTTCCGTGACAAATACTTTCTCTGAGCTCGCCAGCTGCATTTTGCAAACTAAGACGTAGTTGGTTGAACGTTTAGTAGGAATGTTAGATAATCAAGGTGAATTAGGGATACCTAGAGTATTTTGGTGGTGTACGTGCTGTCGTAATTTAGTATAGTAATACTCGATTTTGATGTTTTTTTCGAACTTCGAATATGAACTGCAAAGGAAATTTAATTTTCTTGATATCTACAGACATTGTACAACATACTTTTTTAAAAGAGTAACGAATGGAGTTTCTTGCTCGTTCTTCTCCATTCGAATCTACGTTTTGGAATGAGCACCTAGCTTCACCTAGCTTCACTGACGGACTGACTGACAGACTATTATTTATTTTGTATTTGTTGACGTTTCAAAAGTACCAAACTATGGTTTAATTGAAATAAATGCTTTGACTTTGACTTTGACTTTGACTGGATAACAAACTCACTTTTTATGGGACAAGCCGGTAAATGAGCAGATGAATCACCTGATGGTAATCAATCGGCATCGCCCGATAACAACTGGAACACTGGAGGCGTTACAAGTGCTATACCGGCCTTTTAGGGATTAGGAATTTGAGAATTGTTGAGGATTCAGGGATGGGGGAGAGTGGTGAAGGGGGAGGGGCGGTAATTGGGTCTCTAGTAACCTCACTTACACGACGTGAAACAACACCAGTGTTCTATTGCGTAGGTTTTCTGCATAGGTACAATACAGAGTATTTATATGGTTTTTAAAAATATTTCTATGGTTTTCTTTGAGGCCGTGGTATCAATCCGGTCGACCTGGCCCATTCATGCCAAAGCATGGTTCATCCGCACTTTCTTTTTTTTCAATACAAGTGATTTTTGACGAAAACATCAAAAATTATTGCAAATGTCTATGACATTTGGTTGTTTGCGGGCTTGTCAAGCATGATGCAGGTATGTGGCACAATGTTTCTACTACAATCAACACTGTTTTCTCATTATTTCCCTATTGTATGCCAAAAACCACCACTTACCGAATACCGTTATGTATTTTTGTACCTTATTACTTATAACCATCTCCAAATTGATAACTTTAATCAATATTTCCAAACAATACAGTAAAATCTCCCTCAAGTTACACATGAACAATATCATAATCGAAACTTATAGCGCTCCTGGGAAATTATAGCAACCGGGTCTAGATTGAACGAGTTCTAGCTTTCAAACGTGAACCTATTGGAGTTCCAAAAAGATAATAAATATATAGGATCCTTCTATGTAATAACTATCGTGAAACATGCTAAATTAACTAAAAATCGCGGGTTACTCACGTGAATATACTGAGAAAAACTCTACTAGTTTCGAACCACAGAGGGGTTCTTGCTCATAGCAAAAAAGCTTACAGCTCGTCTAATGAGAGCCTAAGTAATAAATGATACCTCTGCTGTTGCAAATGTAGGTCATTAGGCTACGGTGTTCGGGTCCACTTAACATCGGAGGCTTTGTTGCTACCAGTAATACTAGTGTCACATAAATATTATAAATTTGAAAGTTTATTTTTATCTATGTTTGTCCGACAATCACGCTGGAACTACTGAATGGATTTTCATGAAATTTGGTATAGGTACAGGCAGAGCTTCTTAGATAGTAGAGGCTTTCTTAGGTAATTTTTGTCCTGATTAAATGCTTCCATGGAGTAAAACAGGAATCATATTCTACGCTGGCAAAGTCACGGGCAACAGCGAATGGTAATATAAAGTACTAATGCGTTGCAAACCATATAGGAAACTACTATCTTTAGGTATCAAGGTCGTACAGGCCTCTAAAATGTCTTTTAAAGAACCCTGTGCCTTCATACAGGTGTTGAGGGTGGCCACCGAGGTAGTTTTAGTAAAGTAAATATCTCACAATCTTAGTCTTATAGCCCCAAAAAGCTAGCCGACTTTAAAAGGTTTTCCCCTGTCATAAAAAGGTACAAAGGTCATGATTATTCAAAGATATTGTAAATTTTTGTTTAGATGTTGCAAAAAGCCCTGCAGGGTTGTGGCGGTAGCTGGATAGATATCATTTGCCTGATTGATTTCCGAAATCCAAATAGAAGATAAATCTGAATTCTGTAATCCATATTAATGCGCGGTGTACGCCATTAAGCTCTCTCCAATTGGACTAATAGCATTATTCACGTTAAGGCTAAAACGGTGTCCATAGTATTATGGGCCTCATGATTTTCCGTGGTAATTAAAAATACGTAATAGCTCAATAGTTAATCTACTATCCGTTCAAACAAAGAATGTTGATATTTTACTATAAATTCAAGTCAAAGTCAAAGTTAAAATCATTTTTTTTTTTCAATTAGACCAAAAAAGCATTTTAAAAAAATTAAAAGTTGAGTTATTTGCTAATTCCAAGGTGTAGATTCTTATGAAGAACAATGAGCAAGAAACTCCATAGATTATTAATAAATTGTGACATAATATTGAGTTATATTGCCTTGTATAGCAAGGAGTGTCCAGTTCGATATCGAATCGGGCAAAACAAATTTTAGATAATTTCTCAGCTATAGCACTAATTAGGTACACCCTCAAAAAACAAACTGATGAAGAAAAGTTACTTTGTAGATCTCTATGTACACGCCTGATTACCCTTAGGGGGATTGAAAATAACGTAATTATAAAGTTAAGTGAATCACTAATAAATAATAATTATCTATTACAGAAAACTGAAGCAACGAAAGTGTACACTTGGCGCAAACTGCGAGAGGCGTATGTGAAGCAAGCGATGTTAGTTCGCAAGGTGGACGACGCTATTGGTGGCATCATTATATTGTCGTGCTTCTGTAATTTTTATTTTATATGTCTGCAACTGTTTCTGGGGATCACGTAAGTTTATGAATGTTGAGTAAGCTTTAGTTCCTATATGAAAATAATACGATTAGTGCGGTGGCTGGGCAACCGGCTACCACGCAACGTGCCGCGGGTTCGATTTCCGCTCGAAGCAACTCTTTGTGTGATCCACAAATTATTGTTTTGGGTCTGAATGTCATGTGTATGTGAACTTGTATGTTTGTAAACGCACCCACGACACAGAAGAAAATCCTAGTGTGGGGCAAAGTTCTTTTAAAAAAATACTAATAATATTAAATAAAGACAATAATTAATTGTAAGCTTTAATTTCATGTTTCCAGGGTTCAATTTCACATTACGTTTTAATTCCACGTTTTATTTTTGTTTCGCTTCTAAAACTGCATAAAAACTAACAATAGTAGATTAAATTTCTCAATACCTACCTACAAGTTCTACATCTGTCAATGTTTTCCAAATTATAACCTATTATTATAGCATTAACGACAAACGAAAACCGATCTTACATGTTAAAACATAAAAGCTGTTCCTATACGAATTACAAACACTTCCCACGGTGCTTAATCTATCATTAGACCCGAGGAGTACAAGAAAAACATCGTAAGTGTTCACACAACTGTAGTAAAAAGCGTAAGGCCTGGAACACATGTAGGTGCTGACATTAATCACCTTTGATTTACGTTAGGAATGTAAGTAATTCACGAACAAGTTCCACTAAGTCTAAGTACTGAGTTCAATAAAATACTGTTCTGCGATTCTCGCGTAGACACTGACTATATAAACTTGGTTTCCTATATAAACTTGGTTACAAATGAGCAGCTGTTCATGGTTCTTTTATCTCCTCTTTCTTCTTCTTCTTTCTTATTATATTATTTTATGTTCTTTATGTCTGTATTCCTGGCCATTCTTTATAGCGTATTTTGTAGATGATAGTTGCTACAGACTCTTATCCTAGTTTAATTAAAATTGTACTACTAATATGTATCAACTGTCATTTGTCTTTGTATAATAGTTCAGGGTGACACTATATTTTAATCCACATGTTAGTTTTTTGGGGGGACTGGCAACCGAAACCATTAGCTGATACCATAACGACTGTTATTTTCCCTATTACCATTATGTCCCATGATCCATACCGATATCCAAAAATTCGGGTTGCATTACTTTAATCACATAACGCGAGAGGGCGGGATGTCTGTCACACATACTACAACACACTTTTCACTATTTATAAGTCCCATGTAAAAGGGGGTGAGCCTATTGCCAAATAACGGGCATAATTCTAGACTCCGTGCTATTACTGAAGTCATATATTAATAATACTTTGCCCGACCGAACCGAACCCGAGACCCCTTGCCCGGCAGTCGCCGTTACGATTACTCGGCCAACAGTTACAGCTCACATTCATTTAGTTAATATACTTACTATAAGATTATATTTTAATATAACTTTAGAATTTAATTAAACGTTTTTAATGCCATTATCTTGTTCACAGCCAAAGCCAATCAAGTGAGCCTCTCAGGACAGTCTACTACTTCACTTCATTGGGCTGGTTGTGCTTCAGAGTGATCATCGTCGTCCTAGCAGCCTCTGACATAAACGTCCACTCTCAGATAGCTCTCAACCACATCTATACACACGATACTCTTTATTATAATATTGAGGTAACATGTGAAACATTTATGATTTTTTTGTTATTTTCGCAAAGGCAATGGTAGGTACTTTAGTTGAAATACTATTTTTTGTTAGATATAATAATATAAAACTGTACTTTTCAAGATTATTTAGACACCACTAACAAACGGTGAAAGAAAACATCGTGAGGAAACCTTGGCTTATAATTTCTAAATATAAGTTAGAAATCGCCAACCCGCATTGAGCAAGCGTGGTAATTTATACTCAAACTTTCTCCGTATGAGAAGACGCTTTTGGTCAGCAGTGGCCACTTATAGGCTGTTGATGTGATGATAATAATATTATAGAGATAGGTATCTTTATTCAGATGTGAACGTCTTTCGCTTGATGATGATGTGAACATCGCTTTACTATTATTGCCTTAGCTATTAAATCATGGAATTTTTTACGTGGTAAACGCTACCAGATCAAGAAGTTAAACTGCAAAAATACAACATTCTTTGTAAAAAGTCTCCTTTTAGTGTTTCAAAACACCGTCTCTTGAATTCAGCTTAAATTCAAACAATACATACTACATTTTCTCAGTGGAAAATTCCAATAACACTAGTACAGTGTAGTCCTGCTTACAACCACTTATAAAGACACGATTCATCTTACAGATGGGGCGGCTTCAGGATCAACTCTCCAAGGATTACGTGGCTTTAAGCGGCAAAGGCTTCTTCTACTTGAGCAAAAGTATTTTATTGCAGGTCAAGTATCGTTTTATTATTTACGAAGGAACTTAAAAAGTAGTAGCTGGGTTGAAGTCTCTGGGTGCCTTTGTCGTGTTTTAGGCATAAGTGCTTGTGAATAGAGATGGTATTTTAAAGGTTTTAATAAATATTATTTAAAAAAACTGTTAAAATGTTCGCGATGAAAGCCACCCAAATGAAATTGAAGACGATTATTAAAAAAGACTGTTTGATGATTATTCTAAAATGTCGGGCCCAAAGGTTTAAGACGCTCGCTTCTCAGGCATGAGATTGCGGTTTCGAAATCTAAAAACGGCAATTGTATGTATGTACTTTCAAAGGTTATCTAGACACCAATGACCAACGGTGAAGAAAAACATTGTAAGGAAGCCTAGACTTATAATTTCTACTTAAAAGTTTGAAATCGCCAGCCCGCATTAAGTAAGCGTGGTGATTAATGCTCAAATACCTGCTCAAATACTTTTCAGTGCGAGAAAATGCCTTTGGTCAGTAGTGGCCACTTATAGGCTGTAGATGATGATGATGATGTCATCATCATAATTATCATTTAATTAAAAAAAATTCAAGGTCACAAACTTACTTAGAATCAAGAATTTATTCACTGTTACTGAGACATATTGTCATATTTTGTTTTTTCTTTTATTAGGTAATTAATTCATCATCACGAAAGTGTTCAAAAACTGTGAAGTTAGGGTTTGAAAACATGAGCATTCGACCTCATAAAACAGCACCAAACCACATTAAAGCCTTCATAGTAATTAAAAACCCATTTCTAGAATTCTTCCTCTAAACGAAATTTGATGTAGAAGTAATTTAATTACTTGGTGAAAATAAAATCCTAATTCTTGTTATTGTGGCCAAAGGGTTGACACACCAAAATAGGGTAGTTGCCTAAATTTTATTTTAATGTCCATCTTGTAGATTAATTTGAAACAATAGACAAGTATTTTTTCCTATCTCACAAAATTAACTTAAATATTTTCAACGATAAATTAATGTGAAATATCATGTGACGTCACAATACGCTATATTTTGTAGTACTTTGTGACGTAACGACCTCCCACTCCTAAACTTAACTCCATTTTATCTAAGTATTGTAACTTTACACGAAAACATAAAAAAAATACGTGTGTAATATTTTTTCATTATCTAACTGACGGACTAATTAGATTTTTAATTTTCATTCCCTGGCAACTACCCTATTTGCACATAGCAATAATGTGATGTATCCGTTTTTCCTAGGTAATTATTATATAAGTAAGTTAAGTATAGGTACTATGTGTACTACTTTAAGATATGTCATGTTAAGTGTGGGAGCGCCATGCTTCAGCACGAATGGGCCGGCTCGACCGGAGTGATACCACGGCCTCACAGAAAACTGACGTGAAGCAACGCTTGCGTTGTGTTTCGTCGTGTGAGTGAGGTTACCGGAAGCCCAATTACCTACCCCTTCCCCAATCTCCCCAATCCCTGAATCCCCAACGGTCCTCAAACTCCTAATCCCCAAAAAGCCGGTGACGCTCTTGTAACGCCTCTGGTGTTCCAGGTGTCCATGGGCGAAGCCGATTGCTTACCATCAGGTGATCCATCTGCTCGTTTACCGGCTTATGCCATAAAAAAAAATATCATGTGAGTCCAATATCCCTAATAGGGACCAAACTCATTACCATTCACTGAGAACCATTTCAGATTCAGTGATAGGGAATTCTAGAAAAGTAAGTATTTGTAATCTCATTTAATTCATCATTCTCATTTCGTTTGCAGATGGCTGGTGCAGTAATTACATATGAATTGGTCCTGATACAGTTTGATGACAAAGGCACAGATGATGTTCAACTAAACTTGACTAAAAATGGCGTTGGAGTCGATTAATAACATAAATTATTATGCAGATTAGAAGTCATGTTTTGTTTTATTTGTTCTCAATACATTATTGATAAATTATATTTTCTTTTTTTTTAAATTACGCCTTTTATTTTCTCGAAGGTTTTTTATGGCATAGGTTAAGCGAGCAGGCATAATAGGGTAGTAGGCAATGTATGTAAATTAAAAATATAATTAGTCCGTCAGTTAGACAATGAAATAATATTAGACATATTTTTTTATACGGTCGTCTATGAAAACAATACTTCGATAAAACGGAGTAAAGTTTAGGAGTCGTGGAGGAGGGAGGTCGTTACATCACGCTACCTTATAAAATGTAGTAAATCGTGACGACATACCATATTTCAAATCAATATATTGTCGATAGTATTTAATTTTGTAAGAAAAGAAAAAATACGTGTCTAATGTTTTAAAATAATTTACCAGGCAGACATTAAAATAAAATTTAGAATACTATCCTTTTATCAACTGATGGTAAGCAATCAACGCCAGCCATATGATATCCGCAACACCAGAAAAGATACAAGGACATTGCTTTAGAAGATTGGGAGGAGAGGAAAAACAGTATACTGAGATATAAACTACATCACTCGGCCGGTCGGTCTCGGGTTCGATTCCCGGGTCAGGCAAAGTACTACAAAGTTTCTTAAAAAAAAATTCCAAGCATAGCACGGAGTCTAGAATTGTGCCCGGTATATGGCAATAGGCCCACCCCCTATTACATGGGACTCATAACATAAATAGGTAATGAAAAGCGGGTTTTACATTATACAGTGGCATTAAGTGCCGTAATGTGCACCTCTGCGTACCCCTCCGGGGTAAAGGGCATGACGTTATGTTAAACTACAATTCCTTGATCACGCGGGCAAAGCCGTGGATAGAACACTCTAATAGGTACTCAATAATTATGAACTCGAATTAAAGTCGAAACCGACTTCTGTATCAACCTCTTTGTGGTTAGATAGTCTATTATGAATTACGTATTTGTTTATTTTAAGGTAAACAGCTTATTAATGTCAGTTTTTTGCTATGTACATTATCGTATGTACCTATTAAAAAAAATTACATGACCTATATGATACTAGTCGTCAAATAAAAGCTAAACATTTTTACTTTTAAATTATGCATAATGTCATTAAACAAAAATAGCCTGTACGATTTCATGTTATTGATAAAAACTACCAAATCGCGTGTTAAGTTCAACAAACAGTTATTAACCAGTTTCAATTGACCTGTAGGAAAATAGTAAAATAACTATTGTATTGAAGTGTTGTTTAGTTATTTACTAGTACATGACACACGGCATTGCTCATATTTGTCAAATAAAAGGGGTAACTACTACGATACTTTTCCGATTAATAATTTTGTCACAAATAAATTATTGCTATAAAAAATAGTTTTACCATAACAGATATCTTTTAAAAACCTCAGTAGTAGCACGGAGTCTAGAATTGTGCCCGGTATATGGCAATAGGCTCACCCCCTGTTACATGGGACTCATAACATAAACAGTGAAAAGTTGGTGTTACATTCTACAGTGGCATTAAGTGCCGTAATGTGCACCTCTGCCTATCCCTTCCGGGATAAAAGGCGTGATGGTATGGGTTTATGTTAGAAATATTTCAATATTACAACTATCCCATATAAACGCTTACATTTTATAATAGAGCTCAATCTAAACTGGTCTTTACCTCCATTTTGGTCGGTTTTCAACGAAAGGTAAGATAGGAAATCAATTATGATTGTCTATCTAACAACGTAGCCTTTCTAGATCGACATTAAAATTAAAAATGGCAGCTGATAGATTAACAAGGAACAAAGTAATCGATATTGTTAAAATTATTGCACAGTGCGCTTTTGAATATGTATGGACATGATAATAAACAGTTTTTTGGTAATAATAAGCTGCTCCTACCGGAACAACCTGTACATGATGTAAGTTTTATATCGTATTTTATTCTTACTTTTAATTTTTTTGTAGACAAATGACCATCAAAATGATATACGCTTATCCATCGGTGGTATTATGTGTTTCTTCTATATAGTAATACCACTAACAAGATTATGGTTATAGTTGCAAAAGGTTGCTACGATTGAAACATAAGCTTAAAGTCAAGCCTCTAATTTATTATTGGTAACGTTTCTATTTTTAATTATTAATTAACATATATACCTAGCTTTTATGTATGAATAATTCAGAATATGATATGCACCAATCAATGCAAAGTATCAATCGGTATAGTAATATATAGGTATCATTTCCAAGTTTGTTTTAAAAAAAGATTTAATTTAAATTATCTAACGTTCTTCTTTTAATCAGGACTTCTTAGACACTATGGAAAAGGTGTTCCACTGGTCGTGTATATTCGGTGTATTTGGTTCGAAGAGGTACATCAGTATATTGTGGAGTGCCCTTATCTTGGCGTCGTTGGTGGTTATAGAGTACTTGGCTATTTGGAAGGTCATTCGAGCAGTTACTGGAGTGGCCAGGGACACAAGTGGACACCGTGAGTATATTTCTAATGTTATATTTCGACTTCATTGTAAAGTTTATCGTGATACATGTATTGTTTAAGTTGTAATGGTTGTGGACTGCCCCAAGTGAGCGATAATGCAAGGGATACCGGGTTAAGTTTGCGTATAAGGCAAAAATGTCTGAAAATTTTGGCTTATCGAAAAATGTGCCCAGTTTTAGGTAATTGTTACTATACTTAAATACGTATATACACCTAAGTATATTATGTTTTATAAAAGTCAGTCGTCAATTGTAGTGTGCGTAAGACTTTAGACGTACTGATACGTACAATATTGGAATATGTTTAAAACAGACTTTTTTTAAACTGTCAAACACCCAGCGGTCACCGGTGACCGCAACCTATTGTTCTATAATTGTGTCTACAAAACCGGTACTCTACGAGTTAAAAGAGTACCAAATGGAGTTTGTTGGTCGTTCTTCTCCATTTGAATCTACATTTTGGAATGAGCACCTAACTTCACTGATGGACAGACTGACAGACTATTATTTATTTTGTATTTGTTGACGTTTCAAAAGTACAAAATTATGGTTGAATTGAAATAATTGGTTTGATTTTGACTTAATTAGGCTGAATTAATGATTTATTAATGCCTCTATCACAATGAAAACCAATCGCACAACCACCCTTTGTTATAACCTAAAGCAATTCCTACTGTATTTTCTTCCAGGAAGCATAACAGCTCGCCTCGCAGGAACAATATTTTATTCGATATCAATAATGTCGCTGTTCGTAGCATCGAAACTCTGGTACTATTGGAGAAGTAACATATCGCTGTTGTGGGCTAAAGTGGAACGATCAGTGGGGGTGAAGGTTCCTGCTGATAGCACGTTAAAACGACGACTGTATCTAGTTTTTGGACTAATGACTTTTTGTTCAATGTGTGAGTTGATTGCGTTTAATTTTCTTAATGAACAAATTATTTTTACATGCTGAAGTTCTTTATTTGGTTGAATCACACTATCTGGCTTCTTTGAAACATGGACGCACTATAAACTATTAAATGTCTTGCATGTTTGATTATTATGTAAACGCATGTTTGACAGATAAACGATCTTTCTTTCTTTCTTTCGACGTCGCGCAGCTCACTCGAGTGAGCTCACACAGTGAGCTGCGCGACGTCGCCGCGACCGCGCACGCTGCTCATGAGGAAGAACCCCTCTGTGGTTCGAAACTAGTAGAGCTTTTCTCAGTATATTCACGTGAGTAACCCGCGTTTTTACTTAATTTAGTATGTCTCACGATAGTTATTATAAAAACTTTCTTTCTTTCTTTTTTTCTTTCTTTGTTTGGATGTTTTGATGTTTGTCTGTCAATCTCGATGGAATTATTTATTATTTTTTTATTTTACAGTTGAGCATACAGTCAGCATGATTGCATCGGTTGGGTTAGACTGTCCCTCATCTTTATTGATGAAACGATACGTGCTTGTGTCCCATGGATTCCTTTTTATGGGACGTAAGTACTTACTCTGGACTAAATACAGTACATCCAGGAAATATATCATAAACATAAACATAACATCACGCCTTTTTAATCCCGATATAGGCAGAGGTGCACATTATGCCACTGTACAATGTAACACCCACTTTCCACTATTTATGTTATGAGTCCCATGTAATAGGGGGTGAGCCTATTGCCATATACCGGGCACAATTCCAGACTCCGTGCTATTACTGAGATGTTTTTTTAAAACCCAGTAATACCTTGCCCAACCCGGGAATCGAACCCGAGACCCCTTGCCCGGCAGTCGCACTTGCGACCACTCTGCCAATGAAGCAGTCTCGGTCAATGAAGCAGTCAGCAGGAAATATATCGTTTGCTATTAAACTTGATTATTTGTAAAATATTGATATACCGACTATTAGTACGAGTTCTAGTTTTTAAATTTGAGTTTTTATATGAACTAAGTGAATATATCAGAGGGCCTAGTACGAGTCTGTTTTACGTTTAACGTAATCGAAATGAGACCTCGTTTGCCGCTCTGAGGCCATAGTACGAGTTTGAAGTACGCGTTCGGCGCTGTGATTGGCCGATGCTAATGAACCAACCAATCAAAGCGCCGAACGCATTCTCGTTTCGATAACTTTTAACGTAATACTAACTCGTACTAAGCCCTCCGATTGGCCGGCTTCAAAAACCCAATGAATCAGAGCCCCGAACCGCAGTGTCTTAAAAACTTTTCCCTTTAGGTCATACGCGCACATATTTTCACGCACACCCCAATAAAAATGATCTTAAATTCCAGAAGACTACTCCGAATGGTTTGCAATGCCATTAATACTGATAAGCACTTTAGCCAGTCTGCTATGGAACTTCCAAGATCAGCTCATAGTCCTCATCAGCATTGGTCTTACATCTCGGTATTATAGGCTCAATGGCTTCGTCGCTAAATTATGTGAACTAGAAAAACATCAGACGGAGTTTAATAAGGTATGAGGTATTATTTTATTTTTATTATTTGAATGAATGAATGAATGAATGAATTCTACCGCCTGGGTGAGGCGGGAAGGAGTGTCAGACTCTTACTGACTATAACCACTCCCTTTTCTACTCCTGCGCTTTGAGCCGGAGCCCCGGTAACCCGTTAGGTTCTCCGCGACTCCGAATCGGCATCAGCCCTATTGGGCCCCATCCGTGGTGGTCTGATGGCATTTTGAGGCGCGCGCGGAACGCGACCCGCCGTACGCTCGGGAAGGTATGAGGTATAATTTATTAACTAAGCTTGGGCTGAGATGTGCTAAAAGTAACCCAATTTCAGGCATATTTAGTATGACCTTACCGTCTTACGTCTTGCTACACCATTTATTTGTTTAATTAGGTTTATGCTATACTGTAAGACGCAAACATAACCCTCATTTAAAAACGACACAATCTCAAACATTTTCAGCTTCATATTAAGGTCTGTCTTGTAACCCAGAACATAATATCACGCCTTTTATAACCGAAGTGGTAAGCAGAGCGAAGTGGTGCACATGCCACTTAATGCCACTGTACAGTGTAATACCTACTTTTCACTATTTATGTTATAAGTCCCATGTAATAGGGGGTGAGCCTATTGCCATATACCGGACACAATTCCAGACTCCGTACTTCGTACTGAGAATTTTCAAAACACCCAGTAATTCTTTGTCCGACCCGGGAATCGAACCCAAGAGCCCTTGCCCAGCAGTCGCACTTGCGACTACTCGGCCATCGAGGCAGTTAACCTAGAGTGTAACCCTAAAGTCGTACAAATTATTTCAAAGCAAGAAGTTTTATAATACTCTTATTTACAAACAAAAGTAGGTTCTTGTATACTAAATAAAGGGAGAATAAATTATAAAAATAATAATCTAATCATCGTCGCCTCTTTCCAGAAGTCAGAAGCTCTAAAAGTGTACACGTGGCGTAAAATACGGGAGGCGTACGTGAAGCAAGCGATGTTAGTACGACGGATGGACGGAGCTCTCGGGGGCATCGTCATGCTGTCCTGCTCTTGCAACTTCTACTTCATATGCTTGCAAATGTTCTTGGGAATTACGTAAGAATAATATTTATTTATTAATATCATGATTATATCAAAAGACTGGTGACTGTTGATGAAGCGAAAAAGGTATATATCTAAGAATCGTATCAATTGGCGTTCCATAGTCTCTGCCTACCCCCATGAGATACAGCGTCACCGTAGGTTTATAATTACGTACTACTACGTATATGTATTCGGAGTCGCGGAGAACCTAACGGGTAACCGGGGCTCCGGCTCGACGTGCAGGAGAAGGAACGGGGTGGTTTTTAGTCAGTAAGAGTCTGACACTCCCTCCCGCCTCACCCAGGCGGGTGCAGTCATTCGATGATTTTCCCCCCTTAAAAAAAAACTACGTATATGTGTATTTATGTAATATCATGTCATGTCTTCTGATTCGCTTCATTGCGGGAAACAAGACAGTTATTAATGTCCCTGAGACGCGCCGGACCCGGACTACAATGTTCCGGTGTTTTCATGTTGTATCTACTGTAGATCCTGGCTTACAGGAGTTGCAGCGGTTTTGGGAGGTTGTGTTGGGCTTATCCCATAAAAAAATATCATGTCATACCCCTGAAGAGGTGGGATTCCTACATAGATAGTGATAAGACTTTTAATTTCCACTCATTGAATAAAATCATAAAGACACCACTAACAAACGGTGAAGGAAAGCATCTATAATGTAGTGTAGTCTAAAATGTCGACAAATAATTCGCCATCTTTATTTTCCAGGCAAGGTCTATCCACAGATGTAATGACAGGTATATACTACGTGGTATCACTTGCCTGGCTGTGTACCCGCGTGATAAGTGTCGTGCTCTCTGCGTCGGGAGTGAACACACATTCAAAGACTGCCCTCAAGTACTTGTATACCTATGAAACACACTGCTATAATGTTGAAGTAAGTTTCATTTATTTTTATGTATATTTGATGGGCCGATATTTAACTTCTATCTCGTCTGGTGGTAAGCGATGATAAGTAGTAATATTAAAATCGTTAAGACGCCCGCTTCTCATGCATGACGGTGCGTTCGAAATCTACCAACGGCAAGTACCAATGTGACTTTTTCCGCGTTATATGTACTTTCTAAGATTATTTAGACACCACTGACAAACGATGAAGGAAAACATCGTGAGGAAACCTGGGCTTATAATTTCTAATTATTAGTTTGAAATCGCTAACCCGCAATGAGCAAACGTGGTGATTAATGCTCAAACCTTCTCCGTGTGAGAAGAGGCTTGGCTCAGCAGTGGGCATTTATAGGCTGTTGATGATGATGTTGAATATTAAAATGGTAGTCATTTTTTGTGTTCTGTAAAATTGTATCGCATTGACTTCATGTACTAATTACGTCACGACTTTTAATTCACAAAAGAGTGTACAGAGGTGTACACTGTATGTCTATACTAGTCTGTCATGAGTCCCATCATCCCATGTGATAAAAACAAACTTAATTCTAAACAATGTGCGCTACTGAGTAATTTTCGGGAAACCGAAATCAACTCCAATAATGTTTTGCCTGATCGTTTGAATGGAGCTTGCGACCTTTTGCTTACCACTTGCGTTTGTCATCATTCGATCAATAAAGCAGTTTATAACTCCATCAAATTATTCAACAAAATTTAACCTAATGCTCTACAAAATAAAATACAAAACATAAATGCAACTATCCTGTACACTACCAAAATAGAGTTGGAGATGTAGTAAAACTTGTGGTTCGTTAGCTTCTTATATTTACTTCAGATAACAACAATTAGAACTTTGTTTCCAGGTAGGAAGGCTCCAAGACCAACTAACTAAAGATTACATCGCCCTCAGCGGAATGGGATTCTTCTATCTGAACAAAACTATTTTGTTACAGGTATTCACTCACAGGCTAATTTATACTCTATCATTTCATGGTTAAAGCTGAAAATTCTGTAGCTAGAAAGCAACGTAGGTATTATTATTGACGTTAATGTAATTTCAACTTTGCCTTGTTGGGGTAAGGTTGATAATAAGTGGGGTGTTTATTACAGTGTTTGGGGCCTAAGTCTAGGTTTAGATAAATGTGTGAATTTTGTCGGTTCGTTGATTTATTAAGGCATAGGTTTGTATCGTTATTAGTAGCGATTGGAATAACAATATATAGATAGCAATTTGTGGCCTGCTTAGTCAGCTTTTAAGTCATAAATATATCGTAGTTAAATTTTTTTAAAGTCTTTGTCAAAATGGTAGTGACTAAATAAAAAATTATTGGAAATATTTTTATTGTAGTTCAGAAGCTATTACAGTAATTAATAATTATTGTCATCGTACATACTTTTTGGAAATCAATGTGATCAAGTTCAATCAATCCTCGGAATAGATTTTTTTTTAAATATGTAAAGCTTAAATTGATTTTTCGAATTTGAATTCTTTAACTTTAACAGGATTTCTGTCTAGTATAGGTATATGTTTAGAATCAACGTAAGATAAGGTAACCGTTAAATTAATTAGCAAATTAATCAATTCTTTGTTGCTGCTAACCGAGCTGTAAGTTGGCAATAGATAGATATTTTAATGATATTTTATTTTTATTTTTCAGATGGCCGGTGCAATCATAACTTATGAATTAATACTAATACAGTTTGATGGACAAGGGCAGATAGATACAGAAACTACTCCAAGCATTCATTTAAATGTGACTAATATATGAACTATCGTATCTTAATTTATTATTTGATCTGTTTTTAATTTGTTCCGACATATTTTGTACATACCTAATGCCAAGGATAAAATACTAACGGACAAATTAATTTCCCACGATATGTATTGGTGACATGTCGAGCGAAGCCGGCCGATTTCGCCCGACAAAAGGCGACAACGCGCGACTTATGTCCACAGCCACGGTGATGTTTCCAAACATGTCGACCTAAGACTGGCAACGTGGCGCTTCTCGTCGTCGCGTCGCGTTACCGGAGCTCCGGCTCGAAGTGCAGGAGAACGAACGGGGTGGCTTTTTGTCAGTAAGAGTCTGGCACTCCCTCCCGCCTCACACAGGCGGGTGTCATGGCGAGCCATTCGATGATTTTCTCCCCTTAAAAAAAGAGCTCCAACCTACGTCGCAGGACATTTTCCCCCAGTGTAGGTATTACAGTTTGGGTAAAGCAAAACCGTTTATAAAATTTATCTAAATCCAAATAAAAGTTACAACTATTAAGCTTTACAATATTTTTTTTATTTTTTTATGGCATAAGCCAGTAAACGAGCAGACGGATTACATGATGGTAAGCAATCGGCGTCGCCCATGGATACTTGAAACATCAGAGGCGTTACAAATGCGTTACTGACCTTTTGGGGAATAGGAGTTTGAGGATCGTTAGGGATTCAGGAATTGGGGAGATTGCGGAAGGGGAGGGTAATTGGGCCTCCGGTGAATATTATATAATATTTCATAGTTAGGTCTTTGACTGCTGACAGAAATCTGATGGAGGCAAACCGCTCCGCTAACACAGGTCTACGGTGACCTACGCGACGGTTAGATAACATGTTAATATATTCACATGTTATTAAATACACAATAAATGACTACCACTGGCCAAGTGGTCGCAGGCGCGACTGCCAGCATTGTCTCGGGCTCAATTCCCGGGTCGAGCAAAGTGCTACTGGTTTTTTTTTTAATCTCAGTAGCACGGAGTCTGGAATTGTGCCCGGTATATGGCAATAGGCTCACCCCCTATTACATGGAATTCATAACAGAAATAGTGAAAAGTAGGTGTTACATTGTACAATGACATAAAGCGTCCTAAAGTGCACCTCTGCCTACCCCTTCGGTGTGTTTATGTAATTACCATAAAACAAAGACATTTTAAAACGTTACAATGAAATATATTAAAACTATATAATTATGCATACCTGCATGTCTCATTGGCATAGTTTTACCAGTACCACATTACCTACCAATCAGTGTAAACATATGAAAGATAGCATCAACATAATGAATCATAAATTATACAAATTATGACATAAACACACACTGACATTCATACTAAATTACTTCAAAGTCGCGTTTTTATTTTAATACACAATTCCATGTCTATAACACAAACAATTGCTATTTCTATTCCAACTTACATAGAGTTGAAAACACCTTAAACAGAGGTTTTGTAGAATATTTTTTTTGTTGTAACTCACACACAAGCAATTTTCATTTCTATCAAACTTGTATAGAGTAGAAAATCCTTTACTGTGACTATTTCTACATTTATTTTGTTATAATGTAAATAATTGTTTTGGACATGCGATAGTAAAGTGTGGAACAATAATTTTCATAATAAAAACTTGGTTTTTCGAGACAAAGTAATAAAATTATTGATGGTATATTGAAATGTGAAGGTGAAGATATTTATTATGGGTCATTTTTACAAGAATTTTTGTATTGAACAAACGCCGAGTGTTGAAAAAACAAAGCAAAGTTGGTGATCGTAAGTAAACTGTATTTTAAATTAGTTAAATAGTTGACTGCCTGCCTCGTAGGCCGAGTGGTCGCAAGTGCGATTGCCGAGCAAGGGGTCTCGGGTTTGATTCCTGGGTCGGGCAAAGTATAACTGGGTTTTTAATTTTTTTTTAGTAGTAGCACGGAGTCTGGACAGTAATCTACAGTGGCATAATGTGCACCTCCGCCTACCCCTTCGGGGATAAAAGGCGTAATGTTATATAAATAGTTTAATAACATAATAATTCAGTCCTCTGTCTTCAATTAGAACAATAAGAAAAGGTACATTTTCTTATTGTTCCTCATCTTCTCTTTTCTTAAACTTACTTATCTGACTTAACTTACTATACTTCAACACAAAAATCCATATTCTTTGGTATTTTCTACAGTCTGAACGTCTGAGACACTGAACGTCCATCCACGTGAAATAGAAAAATAAATATTACCTTTTTTATGGTATAAACCGCTAAACGAGCTCACCTGATGGTAAGCAATCGGCGTGGAGACCTGGAACATCAGAGGCATTACAAATACGTTACCGGTCCTTTTGGGGTTAGAAATTTGAGAAATTTTGGGGATTCAGAGATTGAGGAAATTGGAGAAAAGAGGGGGGGGGGTTAGGCCTCCGGTAACCTCGCTCACACGACGAAACACAAGGCAAACGTTTTTTCACGTCGTTTTTCTGTGAGGTTGAGGTATGCCACTCCAATCGAGCCGGCCCATTCGTGCCGAAACATGGTTCTCCCACACTTAATTTCAAATATCTTCGAAATCCTTTATGGATTAGTGCAGAATCGCAAACTGTTCTGGTCATCCTACTCGTATTATTTAAATGAATGTTTTGTTACCAAAGCAGTAAGTGTCATTTTTAAATACAGAAGGGGTTGGAATTCAGTAAGGCGTAATGTTTAAGTGTTAAACTTTGAACTAGTAAAATTTTTACTGTCGTTTCGTAGACATAAAGTTTTATTTTTACTGCGGCGGCGCACTTAATAAAATTCTAATTAAAACTGTTAAATTTTCAGCTTGAAAAATTCAAATATTATTGGGTCGCGAAGTGATATATTTCAAAGTTATTATGAAACGGAATTACGTGAAGAAATTGAACGAGAAGAAGAAATATGACGTGAGAATTTCATTGATATTAAAGTTTAAATTACAAATGTGGTATTTGGTTAATTTTCTTTAATGTTACTTTAACCGGTTGATCTGAAAGTCATTGCAAAAGGCATATTTTCACTACTGAACATATATATGTATGGTTCATAATGATAATTTTAAAGAAAACTATAAAATTACTCATAGCTTTATCTGGATTTCCTAAAATAAGCTAAATATGTCTGTAATAAAATCTACTTAATACTGTTACTAAGACCAAATGGCATAACCATAAACATTTTTCTTTCAATTGATGAACCGAGCGACGTCAGACCAGTATGTCGTGGTGGTAAGCGATGATGCGGTCTACGATGGAACACGTCATCATCAGGCCTTTTGTCATATTATATCTTAAGCAGAATAGAACTGTAATAATCTTGTACTTTCCAGGATTTTCTCTCAATTCTAAACAACGTGTTCAAGAAGGCTCGTTACTTCGGAATCTCGGGGTATGGGTTCAACTTGTCTTTCGCATGGAGTCTGGTACTATTTACCATGCTGGTGGTAGCAGAAACCGTGGCAGTTTGGAAAGTTGTGAGGTTCCTTGGAGGGTGGCTGATGAGCGCTTCTGATAGTAAGTTTTTCAACTAATTAGACACTATGACACTATATTATTCACAAAACTCTTTGAGAAAGTTGATAGATTATGTTTTTTTAGAGCATAAGCTGGTTAACGAGCAGACGGATCACCTGATGGTAAGCAATCCGCACCGCCCATGGACACCCAAAACACCGAGGCGTTACAAGGCCTTTTGGAAATTGGGAATTTGAGGATTGTGGAAGATACGGGGATTCGGGAGACTAGGGAGGTAATTGGGCCTCTGGTAACCCCACTCACACGACGAATCACAACACAAGCCTTGTTTCACGTCAATTATCTGTGAGGTCGTGGTATCAATCCGATTGAGCCGGCCCATTCGTGCTGAACAATGCCTCTCCCACACTTAAATATGCCTTAGTTATCATGAGAAGCATTTACGGAAACATACGTCATGTAACCAAATTCAAATGATTTTTAAAGAACATTAGTAGTTGCAAATAACAAAACTAAACTGTATACAATGAAAAAATAGCGAAATCGGCAGAAAACGCGTTCACGTGTTGTAATGCGATGGCAAACAGAAATTAGGCTTCATTCCATATAAAAATTGGTTCTTCTTTCAGATGGTTTTATAGGTCGGATGTCCGGAGCCATCTTCTATGCAAACGCATTAATATCACTATTCCTTTCATCAAAGTTTGTGCATTCTTGGAGGAACCTCTATATTTACTGGCTTAGTACCGAGACTAATACTGCGCTCAAATTTCCTCCTGACGTGAGAACGAAAAAGAGGGCTACTTTGATAATTGTCTTCGTTATTAGTGTTGCTTCTAGTAAGTATCTTTGAGTATTTCTTCTATTTTCAAATATCTCTATTCAGACAAGCTTTGTGTAAATATCAAGCAAAAATGAGAAAAATCTAGTTTAGATAAACGGCTTCATAAGTCGAGTGGTCGCAAGTGCGACTGCCGAGCAAGGGGTCTCGAGTTCGATTCCCCGATCGGGCAAAGTATTACAGTATTACTGGATTTTCTAAAAATCTCAATAGTAGCACTGAGTCTGGAAATGTTCCCAATATAATTGGTAATAGGCTCACCCCCTATTACATGGGACTCATAACATAAAAAGTGAAAAGTGGGTGTTATATTGTACAGTGGCATTAAATGCCACTGCCACAAAAGGCGTGATATTATGTTATGTTATGTTGTTATATTATAAATTCTCATTTGACCTTATTTCTCAACTATTTTGTGTAAGCTGCATCGTAGTTTTTAATGAATTCTTATGTCAATTAAATGGATTAGAATTTATTTAAAGCAACTTTATATTCTTGTCTTTTTTGATTATTCATTTTACCATTGTTATACTTTTATATCAGGTCTCCGTATTCCTGTTTGATACTTTTTCTTTTTGTTTTCCTCTATTTGTCTTGTCCACAGTTGAACACATTCTGAGTATGATATCTGCAACCGGTGTTGGTTTTCCCATAGGAGAATTTGTCTACAGATATGTCACTATTTCTCATGGGTTTCTACTCAGAGCTCGTAAGTTTTCTTCTTTTTTTATGTAAAGAAATAATATTCATGATTTCTATTATTTTGTAAGTAGAGTACATAAGTACTTTTGCGGTGCCCAAAAGGGCCTATAGTTGGAACATATTTTGTCAAAAATTGTAAACCACCCTGTACACACTATAGATGCATTAAAGTGATTTAAATTTGAATTTGAATTTAACTCGTCGAGTACCGGTTTTGTAGACACAATTATAGAACAATAGGTTGCGGTCACCGGTGTCCTCGCGGTGTTTGACAGTTTAAACTGAATTTGCATTTTAACAATTTTGTTATTTAAATTTTTTGGATACACTTAAATAGGAATCTCTATTTGTCAAATTTTTATTTATATTTTTGGTACAGAGGACTACAGCGCTTGGAATGGTATACCAATTTTTATTTTAAGCAAATTGGCAACAGTTCTATGGAACTTTCAAGATTTGATTATCATTCTCATCAGCATGGGACTCAGTTCTCGGTACAAAAGACTGAATTTGTACGTTAGGAAAATAGTCACTGTTGAAAAGCGAACTGAGACAAAACCGAAGGTATGTACGTGGTTTATATATTTTCTTATAATTGTTATTCTTGCTCATACATTTTATTTACAAATATATCATCCCTGATATACGTATTTAAGTTATTACGATGCAATTTATTATTACTCAAATAAATACTAATGAAAATTAAACACTCGCATTGCATTTTGGATGTATTTTTGTTAACGATCTTTAAACGTGTCACAATCATAATTTTTAAATATCAAACGAGCAGACGGATCCCCTGATGGTAAGCGATCAGCGACGCCCATGAACACCCGCAACACCAGAGTAGTACGTTGCGTTGCCGGCCTTTTAAATGGGAATACGCTCTTTTCTTGAAGGTTTGAAAGTTTCTCTTTTTAAATGAATCTAATAATTTCATATCATTAATTGATGATCGCAGCTAACGATAGCTTAATCCAGCTTTATTCTGTAGGAAATAAAGTAGCGGTCTATCTCATTATGTACCACAATACTTGGAGGCAATTCGTTCATCTACCTTCTTTTGTTCGCTTCCCTATTAGCAGCCTCAGCGTAATAACTTGCGGATGACGATAAGCTACAGACACATTGCTTCTCATTAAGTATACTTGCAGACGAGCGTCACATTAAAACAAGATATTAAAGCATAAGCTTTCGATTCGAGCATCGATAACGATCGCATCTTTCGAATCATGAATTTTGATTGATCGTTTTCGTCGTATCAAATATAGTTGGCGTCATAATCTGAACTATTATGCCTACAGATCACATTGTTCATTTAAAAATATAGACGGATTTATCATTGCCGCTTCGTGTACAGTTTTCATTGTTTCTAGAAGCAAGGTGTAAGCATCTGTCATTTCTACGCTACCAATAGGGTAGTTTCCCAAATTTTATTTTAATGTCTGTCTGGTAGATTATTTTAAAACATTAGACACGTATTTTTTCTTTTCTCACAATATTAAATGCTTTCGACGATATAATGATTTGAAATGTCGTGTGACGTCACAGCGTGGTACTAAATGTAGCACGTTATGACGTAACTACCTCCCACTTCTAAACTTAACTCCATTTTATTTAAGTATTGTAACTTTATAGGTACGAGAGAATAAAAAAATACGTGTCTGATATTTTTTTTTTAACTAACCGACGGACATATTAGATTTTTAATTTTTTTACCCTGGAAACTACCCTATTGTTCTGAAGGATGCATGCATTCGTCAAATGACGCAACGCGAACGTTTACCCTAAATGTAACGTTTCGCTATGATAGCAAATTTAATGAATATTAATGTGACGATTGATGTTATTAATTATGATTTTTGTGAAAGTAAACCTAAGCTAGTTCAAGTGTGGGAGAGCCATGCTTCGGCACGAATAGGTCGACTCGACCGGAGTGATACCACAGCCTCACAGAAAACCAACGTGAAGCAACGCTTGCGTTGTGTTTCGTCGTGTGAGTGAGGTTACTGGAGGCCCAATTACCCTCCCCTTCCCCAATCTCCTCAATCCCTGAATCCCCAACGATCCTCAAACTCCTAAATTAATCCCCAAATGGTCGGTAACGCACTTGTAACGCTTCTGGTGTTCCAGGTGTCCATGGGCGACGCCGATTGCTTTCCATCAGGTGATCCGTCTGCCCGATAACCGGCTTATGCCATAAAAAAAAACAAGCAATCAAACATCTGGTACCCGAATAAAAAGACACGTCTAAGGACACCATCATAGTCAGTTTTAAAATCAATGAATAGACATGTGAAATATTAATCAAGCGACTATTAGTAGCGAACTTTTACAGTCGCACGTCTACATTGCTAACAAAATTCTGTACGAGAACAATTAGTGTCGTTTGTATACAATCTTATTAACACTTCGTTTGTAGTTCTTAATTGTATGTACTAAACAATATCATTACGTGTTTGAGAGGAACTTGTGTAATAGTGACGTCATCATTATTACTGCAGTTCATTAGTACTTGCCTAATAGTTGTTTGAGTATCTGATACGTGTATGTGTTTGTGAGTACCTAGCAAATAGAGATATAGAGGATTTTGACATATTCTGATTTATTTAGTTTACAGAAGTATACAGAGCGGATATGAATGGGTCAGGTAGATATACTGATAATTATAGATTAGCGATATATTAAAGAAGGGTCAAAAGTCAAAGTCAAAGCATTTATTACAATTAAACCATAATTTGGTACTTTTGAAACGTCAACAAATACGAAAAAAATAATTATCTGTCAGTCAGTCCGTTACTGAAGCTAGGTGAAGCTAGGTGCTTTAAAAATACATACCCTAAGATTGATGACTGTTGATGAAGCGAAAGATGTATGTAGGAATCGTAGCAATTGACATTCCATAGTCTCTGCCTACCCACATGGGAGACGAGCATGAAGTTATGTAATTGTATGAACAGCTTTACCGTAGGTGTATAATTACGTACTACTACGGGCTGGAGCTGAAAATCAGTGCCGTGGACTCGAGACTTCGTGCAGAGCCATAGTATTAAGCTGAGCTCCGGCTTTTTGCGCTGAGACGCACCATAGGCTCTCTTTGTATGTACCTGTATTCTTGTCTGCGTGTGTGTGTGGTGTAATATATGGTTTTCTTGCTTGCTTTCTATGACTGTTCGACTGACTTTTCTACTGCATAAGAGTCCTATTATAAATGTGAAAGCGACTTTTATTTGTCCCTTTTTACATTTTATCAGCCATTTTTTTTTAAATATTTCTTACATAAATTTGAAAATATGAAGTTAGAGTACCTAAGTAGTCATAATTTATTATTACAAAAACACGGATAAAAATCAATCTATTTATTAAAAACTAGCTACTTCCGCGCGGTTTCATACGCTCTGCTCAGCTCCTATTAGTCGTAGCGTAATGTTTTATAGCCTATAGTCATCCTCGATAAATGCGCTATCCAACACAAAAAGAACTATTCAAATCAGACTTGTAGTTACGGAGATTAGCGCGTTCAAACAAACAAACAAAAAACAAACTCTACCGATTTATATAGGTAATAGTATAAGATATAAGATATAACTAATACCATGTCTAACTCTTTCAGTAATTGTAATAATGATGTTTCAGTTAAGAAACTTTTTTGTTTACTCACATCTTTCCGTATTTCAGTTCGGCACAGAATTATACTTACAAATACAAGTATGGCGACGCTTGCGCGAGGCGTACGTTCGACAATCAACACTCGTGCGCATGGTCGACCGTAAGCTTGGATCTCTTGTATTGCTGTCCAATATAAATAATTTGTACTTCATCTGTTTGCAGATCTATCTTGGAATACAGTAAGTGACAGTTTTAGTTAAAATTAAGGCTGATAACTTACTTAACTTACAAGATTATGGAAATAATTATGATAATTAAGGTTTATATTCTAATTATACTCATTGTATATAGAAAACTCACCTATTGCCGATCACAGGACATCACTTTTGTATCACACTAAAATTATAAATGTGAAAATTTCTTTGTTTGAATGTTTGAGTATCAATCACGCTGAAACTACTGAATGGATTTTAATGAAATTTGGTATACAAGCAGGGTATGGCTGACTCAGGTGATAGGGTAGGCTTTTTGTCTCGATTAAAAATGCTCCCATGGCATAAAACCAAATGTGGAAGAGCCATGCTTAAATGGCATAAATGGGCCGGCTCGACCGGAGTGATAACACGGCCTCACAGAAAACCGACGTGAAACAACGCTTACGTTGTGTTTCGTCGTGTGAGATTACCGGAGGCCCAATTACCCCCCCCCTCCCCAATCTCCGAATCCTCCACAATCCTCAAATTCCCAATTCTTAAAATGCCGTTAACACACTTGCAACGCCTTGATGTTTCAGGTGTCCAAAAAAACAAGAATCTTATTCTACGCGGCCGAAGTCGCGGGCAACAGTTAATGATTTTGTAATTAAACAGCGACCCGAGAATTGAACGTAATTTTGCTAAATTACATTTTTATTCCAACGTAATAATTTATTTTTAAGTCTATTAGTGAATATGTGAGTCCCATGTAATAGGGGGTGAGCCTATTGCCATATACCGGGCACGATTCCAGACTCCATTCTACTATTGAGAATTCTTTTAAAAACCCTGTAATACTTTGCTTGGCCCGGGAATTAAACCCGAGAGCCCTTGCGACCACTCGGCCAACGAGGCCGTCAACCATCCTTACTTTTTGAATAAAATCATCGAACAAACGCATCTCAAACCTATCCCAATCACCCAGTAACTGATAAACATATAATGAGTTCAAACTTTCTAGCATTAATTCTGAATTAAGTTATCTTAATTAGGGTTGACACTAAAGGGCTTTCTCTAAACAAAACAAAGTAAATTATACTCAGTTTTGAAAGTCGAGGGAGCTAAATTAAGTGTACGCTGTCGACTCAGGTCCACAAAGAGGTTTGTGTCCTTCACTTTAGGAAAAGGACCACTCTTAAAGACTCGGTCCTTTTGTCCGAGTATCGCAGACCTTGAGTTTTTTTGATTTGCAAGAAGATTGAAGAGGTGGTTTTGGCTTTTAAGATCCTTAAGTACTCTCCATGCACAATGGGTTGAGGGCCACTTGTTCAGTTCTTGGGAAAGCTGTTTTTTTACAATGTCTGAATGTGGCACGTGCTTAAAATGGGGACCCTTTTTCCCCATTTGCTACTAAAATATATGCAAAGTAGAAAAGGTTATCTTTGACTCTAATCGGAGAGTTGTCGTTGAAGTGGCTATAGGGTTGTTCCTTGTTTACCTACGGGGAATGTAAAGGAATTTGTAGGGAAAAAGCTCGATGACTATTACCTATCTAAAGGACAATGTCCGAAATGGCCCTGTGTAATAAAGAGTATCATAATATACGATGATTAATCCCCAATTTTATTAAATAAGTTGCAAATACTTCTGTATCACGGACTAGCTGTATTCCAAAATGTACTTTTTATAGAATTAAACGCGACTAATAACATTAGATCGCCATCTTCGACTATGTCAAATGCCTTCGCCTAATGTAATAAATAATAATCGTCGTAATAGGTAGTAACAATAATAATATACAGTAATCGAAACTTCTTTATTTCTATACAATCATTCAAACATTCAACATTCGTTCAAATATCTCAAAATCTGATACTTTTTTGAAATATATCTTTTCTCCAGCTAGTCTGCTATAAAACAAGATCTTCTAGGAGTCAAAAAATGATAGGGAATATAATAAATAGTTATCCGATACTCTTGGCTCCAGGGCCAACAATGTATGGACGCAGAGTCCTTTAATCAAACAATATTGAGCTGAAGCGCTCATAGGAAAAAAAATTAATAAGTTAACGCTAACATTATAATCCTTTTTCAGGAAAAACTACAAACAATTTTAACTATACACATAATTTCATCTTAATATTTAGTCATTTTATTTCAGCAAACCGAGTTCAAGCACAATAAGTCGTTGTTATTTCCTCTTCTCGCTAAGCTGGCTAATTCTAAGAGCATGCAGCGTAGTGATTGCTGCGTCCGACGTACATCTGCACTCGCAAAGAGCTTTGAAACTGCTGCACTCATGCCCCAGTGCTAATTATAATATCGAGGTATGTATAATAAAACTAAAACTAGAAAACAGTAAATGTGAAGTAGAGAACTTTTAAAGGATTCTCGAACTTATTGCTTAGTGTAAATAAGAATACTTATTGAGTAAAAAAGACACAACAGTAATGCTTTTCTGCCTTAGTGCTGTTGCGATTGGTGTACAGTTGTAGTTCTTGAAATTAATATTCGGCGAAAATGCTGATTTGATCATAAAACCAAATCATTTATTTCAATTAATCCACGTATAACACTCTTCTTCATCTTCAGGGTTTTTATCTAAATATTAAACTTATAGGGGACATACCAATTTGTACAATGTATGTACAATACTTCCAAAGGTTTCTGATACGCACTTTCAGATTTCAGGCGCAGGCAAATTAACCTCCGAGCCAGTCTGAGCCAACAAGATTTTATACCTAGGCTTTTATAACTATTATCTAGTGTGTACAATATCTCTACAATAAAAAATTCTTTAATTCCTCTACTTTTACGTTCCAGATGAAAAGACTACAATACCAGCTAGCACATGACTTTGTGGCACTGACTGGAATGGGATTTTTCTCGCTACGGAGAGAACTGCTGCTTGAAGTAAGTCCCCTATTGTTGGAAAAACAGCTGTAGGACTGATTTTGTGTAAGGTTTTATTAATTTTCTGTTAGTCTACTGAAAAATGTGTAAGAAAATTATTGAAAAACTTATTTTTAACTGTATAAAACAAAATCAAACCATGATTACCGTCATTTTAATCCACCCCTTTTTGATTCCAGGTGGCAGCAGCAATATTGAAGTACGAATTAGTTTTAATACAATATGATAAATAGTTAATTATTATTAAGACACATTGTCTTTACGTAGTTCAATATATGTATGTAGTAAACATGTTTGTTATTTGTAATAGTAAAAAAATATTATAATATTACGTTTCTCCTTTATATTTTACCTTTTGATTATTACAGTAAAATTATAAAAATGGCAATAATGTCATACATATATATTATCAGTATGAACCCCTAGCGTTCAACTTTATGACTCAGATTAATTGATTTTTAGTTGATTTATATGAGGCTATGATAGGGACTGATATACGCTGTGCTGTATAAAAGTCGTTAAATTTAAAAAACAAAAACTGCGTTAAAAAAACCGACTTCGAAAACCAAAACCTAAAAACAAGCAAAAGGTCAAAACTAAAAAGCAAAAAAGACTATGATTAGTCATACGTACTTATTTATAGATTACCCACCCATTGATAGGTGAGAAGTCGGTGCCACAAGTTTTAATCAAAAGTTATCTTTAAACCCGTAATAAGTACCTTATATTACCCAAGCTTTATAAAATTTTATGACAGATTATAACTATGACCAAAATCTAACTTATATTTTGTTATGGGCTGGTGTACCGACTCCTCCTTTTTGGGTAGTCGGTTAAAAATGAAATAAAAAAAACCTTATCGTGGCTTAAAATTTGTCGAGAAACGTCGCCGAAGAATTAGATATGTAAATAAATCTAAAACTAACTAATTTAACCTGTATCACGATAGTAAAAATAAACAGAAAAACCTACGATCACTATTTACGATACAAAAAAAAAACAACCAAATTGTGAAGAGTTTCATCAGCCATTTTCCAAACAAAACACAAGCGAAAGTTTAATAAAATACGGTACACAACCACGGCTTACACTTCGGCTATGAAAGCCTACAAAATAGGTTTTGTTTTCCAAAAAACGAGTATTCAATTCACGTCACTATCAAATTGCCTAGATTCAGGTGAAAAAATTTGAAGCGTTGCTAAATGAAAACATGTTTTTTTTCGTAAATGTTAGATACTGGGTAGTGGTCGCTGGTACTATTTTAGAAAGTAAAAAAAGTGTGTTTAGGTAGATAGGAAACGTAACACATTCACAAGCCCAGACTAAATCAACTTAAGGCTGATTTTCAATCATCAGTACATTCTTAATTGTAGAATAAAAGTGACATTTTACAGTTCTTAGTATAGAAGTTTTGCCAAATATTCAAAATTATTCCTCAGTTAAAATTTACCTGGCTTTGGAAAAATCGGCCCTAACACTTTGACAAAACCTTTCTTTTCCTGTACCACTACCGATACACAGTCATAAAACACTTGATTTCACAAAAATCCTTCTCTATGACACCTTGACAGATTTAACCATCATTCCGATCCTTGTCACGTAGCAACAAGGTTGAAAATATCGGCAGTTTCAATATTTCTTTCACATTTGTAATCCTTTGGAGGTTTTTGCGGTTTTTTCGAAATATTGTCACGTTTTAGACTCACTCTTTTGGTAGGCGCTTACTTCTCATAATTGGTATGACCGTCTGTACATGTATTGGGAATAGGAGCCATACCAGCGGTAAATTTGTTATTTTATTCCTCGGTATCATTGTTGTTATGATATTCTTATACGATTTTTTTGCTCCAAAAGACACTATGTACAATAAAATCAACGGCGTACATAGTATGTTTAATGTACCTTAATAATCTACAACTTCTATATTCAGCTTTACACCTTTGAAACAAGGTCGATATAGCATTCTACAGCTTACATAAACTTCATATTTTTATTGTTGTTTTAGTTTACAATACACTAAAATAGATGTTCCAGGAAAAATAATTTTAGAATCTAGGTTACCTAAGCCAATGCATCAAAAGAGTCTGTTATCACCAACCATGACTCCTAAACAATCTCTCAGCTAAGATATACCTACGTAGTATAAGAGAGCACCTAAACTCACCTGTTACCCTGTCACACCTTCAGTTCATTTGGTTAGTTCTATCCATTGGTAAAAACGAACCTATCACTAAGTGCCACCTATCTTAAATTAGAGGCTCCGTAAAATTTAAAGAGTCGTTGGTAAAACGGGCATTCCCTATACTAATCAAAATGAATCAGTATTTCACTGTACACAACTGATTACACTAGACAATTCCCTTGATCAAGATCTGTATGAGAATGCTTGAAAGATAATGGAACCAAACAAAGAGGTTTCAATCAAAGCATTGTGCATACAAATGAAGACTTAATCATCAGATCTTTTGTTCGAGCTATCGGATTGTTCATTTGTAGAATTGGAAACGAATGCATTGATTTTTTTTCTTCTTCCTTGTATTGGTTCTTATGTCTGTTCCGTAGTAATGATATATTATGATTGATATTCTTTAACGGAGAAGGTCGGTCGGAAGGACGGTCGTGGTGGCCCGGAGGTTTAAGACGCCCACTTCTCATGCATGAGGGTGCGGGTTCGAAACCTACCAACGGCAAGTACCAATGTGACTTTTTCCGAGTTATATGTACTTTCTAAGATTATTTAGACACCACTGACAAACGGTGAAGGAAAAACATCGTGAGGAAACCTGAACTTATAATTTCTAATTATAAGTTTGAAATCGCCAACCCGCATTGAGCAAGCGTGGTGATTAATGCTCTAACCTTCTCCGTGTGAGAAGAGGCTTTGCTCAGCAGTGGGCATTTATAGGCTGTTGATGATGATGATGAACGGAGAAGGGGACATAGAAATATAATATGTAAACTGCATATAGTTTAGCTACTAATACCTGCTGAGTTCCTATTGATCGTAGCGTGATGTTTTATAACCTAAAACCTTTCTCGACAAATGGACTATCCAACACAACAAACAAACAAATCGAACTACTCATTAGATACGAGTTACTTCTTATATAAGCGCATTCAAAGAGCGGATGGCGAACACGGGTGACTCGCCGCCCGACCAGAACCCTTAGTACGAGTTTGTTGGGCCTTAGGCCTTAAACCCAGACGCGTCGCGTTTCGCGTACGCCTCAAAGAGCCATCAGACTACCACAGATGGGGTCCGAAAGGGCTGATGCCGATACAGAACCGCGGAGGACTTTACTGGTTGCCAGGGTTCCAGCTCCAAGTGCAAGAGTAGGAACGGGGTAGTTTTTAGTCAGTAAGAGTCTGACACTCCTTGTGTAATACTCAAATTATTGTTTCGGGTCTGGGTGTCATGTGCAGGTGAACTTGTGTGTTTGTAAACGCGCCCACGACACAGGAGAAAATCCTAGTTTGTGGGGCAACGTATTTTTTTTAAAGAAAAAAACAGACCATAGCAAAAATTTCCTAAGATAGAAAAAATATACTTAAGTGGATATGTTGTAGTAATAACACATATTTCTTGCATGAAATAAAAGTATGGTTTAAAAGATGTATCGATTAACAAGAATTAACAAACGAACCTATACAACGTCACAATGTGTATAAACATGTAATGTGTAGGAACATAATTATATGAATTTACTAACACACATACACACACGCCACATTTTATGTAACAGTTTATATTCTATTTATTTTACTTAAAACAAAGCCCGCATGCCTTTACTGATTACAGCGATAAACAAATTAATTCTGTTTGTTTTATAAATGTTGGTTTATCAAACAAAGCTACCTAGTATAATATATACCTATTGACTACTTGTACATAACAGAGTAAATGAAGATCATAAAAAAAATCGTTTGAAAAGAGTAATATTATGTACTAGCTTTTACCCGCGGCTTTGCCCGCGTATAATCTTGTTTTATTTTATGAACATATTTAATTGGGGTAAAAAGTATTCTATCACCTAAGTCAGCCCATACCCTGCTGTATACCATTCATCACATAACATCACGCCTTTTATCCCCGAAGGGGTAGGCAGAGGTGCACACAGATGTAACACCCACTTTTCACTATTTATGTTATGAGTCCCATGTAATAGGACCTGTATACTGTATATGTATATAATAAATGCTGTATACCAAATTTAACCAAATTCGTTCAGTAGTTTCAGCGTGATTAACGGACAAACATCCTAACAAAGAAACTTTCACATTTATAATATTAGTGTGATTTGTCTGCTATGAATGGTATATGGAACCATTCATATAATTACGAAAAAATCAATGCAGGAAATTAAATGACTGCGTCGCTGGTCGAGTAGTCGCAAGTGTGACTGCCGGGCAAGGGGTCTCGGGTTCGATTCCCGGGTGCGACAAAGTATTACTGAGTTTTTAAACAAATTCCCAGTAGTAACACGTAGCCTGGAATTGTGCCCGGTACATGGAAATACATTCACCCCCTATTACATGGTATACATAACATAAATAGTGGAAAGTGGGTATTATATTTCATAGTGGCATTGAGTACCATAATATGCATCCTCTTACTATTCTTAAAAAAGGCGTAATATTCTTACAATAACATACTGGATTAACTATATTCGTGAATGCTTATAAATTTTCATGACCACATTTTAATTAAACCTTTAATTCTTACTAAATAATAATATTGAGGCTATTTAATGTCCTAAATCCCTAATAAAATGAAATAATAATGTCTCAATAATCTTGTGGGACACGAATCAATGAGAAGCCAAAATCAATCCTTTTGTTCAATCAATGGACTGTCCTGTGTTGGATTAGCCTACGTCAGGGACCAATCCCATATTAATATCTTTAACAAATCCGCTTTATTGTATGTACCATGTAAAGAAAACTGAAATCTTTGAAAAGACTAGAGTTATGAAATTGAAGTCGAATATAGGTATTCGAATTTCATCAAACATTAATTATAAACGATCACTTACAAAGTTCCATAGATTTAGCAAATTTTGGCATAAGCAACTCTATGCCAAATCTGTCTAAAATATTTATTGTATCCTAGTAACTGGCTGTACGCCTTTTGCTATAAACCTGCTACGCCCTTGCTACGACATTTGCTACGTAACTTGCTACGTAATTTGCTACGAAACTTACTACGCCACTCTTACTTCATGCACGAACCGCTTCTTATGTCACCCAATTCACCAGTTTTGCCAATTACATAACTATTTATACTCAGCTTAAGGTCGTTTTTCAAATGAATTTATGGAGAGTACATTCCACGCGTCTGTTGTCAGTGGCAGACAAATACAAAATTGTTGTTATGCAAATTTAGTGAAGGTTTTTCCGGTATAGATTCGCTTTATGTGATGACAACCTTTCGTTAGATTGAAATAGATAATAATGATACTTTTATGATAATAATAATAGTTTCCAATTTACCGGTCCACAACAATCATCCATAGCCCTACCTTTTGCATTTCCATAGTGCATACAGGGATAGTCGCCGGTTTGTGTGTCCATTACATTTATATTAAAGTTGTCTAAAAGGCCTCTGCGCAGTTGGTTTCGGCCCCTCGTACGCCTTCCAAATTGCCGGGATCCTGTAGTCCCGTGAATGGTAAAGACATACTTTTATCTATACTAATATTATAAAGAGGAAAGATTTGTACCTATTTTTGTATGTTTGTAATGAATAGGCTCCAAAAGTACTGGGCCGATTTAAAAAAATCTTTCACCAATAGAATGCTGCATTCTTCCAATTTGACATAGGCTACATTTCATTTTGATAAAAAAAATTATTGTCTACCCCGTGCGAAGCCGGGACGGGCAGCTAGTAAATAATAAAATTAATACGTTTATCCTTTTTATGGACATTTTCAGGAATGAAATATAATTTTATTATTTGACAGACTTTATTTATCATTCAATACGACAAATATATCAATGTGGATAGATTATCCTGGTTCTGGTGACGCAGGACTGACCCCTGTAAACTGCATCAATACCAGCTCGTAAGTTACTATTGTGCCCGCAATCTGAAATAAAAATAGTTTTTAATGTCTTCAGCCATCACAAGCATCAATCAAATTAAACGTAACTTCATACTTTTTATCCTCGAAAGGATATTCAGAGGTACATATAGACAATGTAATACCCACTCTTCACTATTTATTATACGAGTTTCATTTATAAGAGGGTGAACCTTTAACCATATACAAGGCACAATCCAGTTCCCCCAGTAGGCAACATGGGGTTCTTCAAGAAGGGAGTAGAAGGTTTTTTAATGGTCGGCAAGGCACATGTAATGCCCCAAGTGTTGCAATCGTTCATAGGCCACGGTAGCCACTTACCATCAAGTGGGCCTTGTGCTATATTTGCCACCGTGGTGTATACAAAAAAAAAACAATCCTCTCCGAGCTATCATTGCGAAAATTTCGAGAACCTGAATATAGAATTTACAAATGGGCAATGGGTCGCGGGTTCGATACCCGGGTCGGGCAAAGTATTATTGGGTATTTTTTTAAATCTCAGTGGTGGGTGGCAATAGCCTCACCCCCTATTACATGGGACTCATAATATAAATAGTGAAAAGTGGGTGTTACTTCTGCGTGCAGCTCTGCGTATAATAGGCGTAACGTCCAACGTATTAGGCGTGATGTTATGTTATGTTACTGAATATAGAAATCAAACTCCAAGTCCTTGTTTAGCAGCTGTTCTTACGATCATTCGACTTACTATTAACTTTTATGCAACTGTCACAACAATAACTTAAAACCAATCAATAAACGAGCAGTCAATACACCATCAAATCCAATATTCATTAATGTATACAAGGAAGTTGATTTAATATATAACCCTTTAATCTGAAGTTGGGATCCGCCATAATTATTATATCCTCGGTCTTCCTGCCTTACAAACAAAGGAATCTCTCATAATAGTGAAACCGCACTGTTATAAGTGAGTTGTGTTCATAAGGTCGAGTTTAGACTGAATTGCCCGAGCGAGGTTTCGACGTTTCGTCTTCGTAACGTCCATAATTTGTTATAGTACTATAGTTTTTATATTAGATTAAGTTAATAACTACCGATAGACTATCGAAATTATGTAAGGTTAACTACATCGCACAATTCATTGAGCACGCAGTACATGTTTATAAGCTCCGATATAACTTGAAATTAGTCGAGCATCCCCGAAAGTTTAAGTGTCTAGTACATATAATTTATTCACAATTTTTAAAAAGTTATTCATCATCATCAGCAGCCTATTCGTGGCCACTGCTGAGCAAAGCCTCTTCTCACACGGAGAAGGTTGGAGCATTAATCACCACGCTTGCTCAATGCAGGTTGGCGATTTCAAACTTATAATTAGGAATTATAAGCACAGGTTTCCTCACGATGTTTTCTTTCACAGTTTGTCAGTGGTGTCTAAATAATCTTAGAAAGTACATATAACTCGGAAAACGTCACATTGGTACTTGCTGTTAGTAGGTTTCAAACCCGCACCCTCATGCATTAGAAGCAGGAGTCTTAGACCTCCGGGCCACCACGACACAATGTTCTTGTAATATAAAAACTAAATGGTTGTGAGGTCGCGGGGAACCTAACAGGTTACCGGGGCTCCGGCTCGACGTGCAGGAGAAGGAACTGGGGGGTTTTTAGTCAGTAAGAGTCTGACACTCCCTCCCGCCTCACCCAGGCGGGAGCAGCCATTCGATGATTTTCCCCCTTGAAAAAATTCTACATTTCAAATTGTTCAAATTTAGAATTATTGTATTATTTGACGATTTTACTAATTTACGTTAGGTCTGCATTGTTCATATTTATTCATATAAATCAGTATGGATACCGAACCACAAACAGCTTTTCTCTGAAGTCAAGGTTGGCTGGAAGTTGACGCAGCGAAGCATCGCAAATCCGATGTTATTATTTAATTACCAACTCCCACTGAGAATTGAAGACGGTTAGTCTTAGTACACGTCCAAGTTATAAGGAAAGCGGTTGCTTGTGAAGATTTCTTGTATAATAATCGGGGTAACATAGATATTACAACTTAAGACCTATGTAATGATATGTAATATGTATATGTTAGTGGAAATAATTATGTATAATTAATAACTATCGTGAGACATACTAAATTAAGTAAAAACGCGGGTTCACACATACAGCTCAGTGAGCTGCGCGACGTCGCCACGACCGCACACGCTGCTCATGAGGAAGAACCCCTCTGTGGTCCGAAACTAGTAGTGCTTTTCTCAGTATATTCACGTGAGTAACCCGCGTTTTTACTTAATTTATGTATAATTATGTATATGTAATGAAAAAGGGAATAAATGACAAACAGTTTCACAGTAATTTAAGTGTGAGAGAGCCATACTTCGGCACGAATAGGCCGGAGTGATACCAAGGCACACAGAGAACCGACGTGATACAACACTTGCGTTGTGTTTCGTCGTGTGAATGTGGTTACTGGTGGCCCAATTACCCCCCTCCCCAATCTCTCCAATCCCCGAATCCCCGAATCCACAACAATCCTTAAATTCCTAATCCCCAAAAGCCGGTAATGCACTTGTAACACCTAGTATTTTGGGTGTCCATTGGCGATCCCGATTACTTACTATCAGGTGGTCCGTCTGTACATTTACCGGCTTATAGTTACCATAAAAAAATTGGAATAATGAAATGACATATTATCATTACATACAGCTTCACAGTCATATATACACATATTATTAGATATAGACATACTGATTAATGTTATAAATATGAATGTGTTTGTTTATCTTTAAATCACGTCACAACATAGCGTTATCATGATATGGTTTTGCAAAAATAGTTAAGAAGCCGGAGAAATAGAGTTCCTCTCTTTTGTCCTTGCGAGGGAAGCGGCACACACACACACATACACACACACACACACACACACACACACACACACATAAGTAATAACATAACAATATACATGTTTACCATAACAGCTGAACGCATGTTACTTAGGGTTTAGACGCCTCAAAGACTGACTTCAGAGCGCTGAGTTACCCCACAATTTCAGTAGGTATTGTTCCCTAAGAAGTTGCTTGTTGTATTTCCAATTGGAAACTATTTTACGAATATAATAACCTAAGATCTATTTTGTTAGTTAAGCTCCCAATATACGATAACATAATATGACTTCTAGCTTTTTGATCTCATAGTATACCTTTGTATACAAAATCAGATTAACTTTTTAATCGACTTCAAAAAAAGAACGAGGTTCTCAGTGTGAATACATTTGTATGTTTATGCGCAATTGTGATGATGGCAGGGTATGAAAATTAAAAATATAATTAGTCCGTAAGTTAGGTAATGAAAAAATATTAGACACGTATTTTTTTTATTTTGACGTATAATAAAACAATACTTAGATAAAACGAATCAAAGTTTCGGAGTGGGGGCTAAAACGTCACTTCTACGTATAAAATGTACATAGAAGTGACGTCACGCGACATTTCAAATCAATATATCGTCGAAAGTATTCGTTTCTGTAAGAAAATAATAAATGCGTGTCTAATGATTTCAAATAATGTACCAGACGGACATTAAAATTAAAATTAGGAATCTACCCTATTATCTCGATTGGATGACTGATTTAGGTGCAGTGTTCAGAAAATTGTTTATTACATTAAGGAGATAGATTTAGTGTGTTATTTAACTGACTTTGAAACAAAGGGGTTTTGAAGTAATTTTTTTTAAACGTAGTCTACAAAAGAATCATTACCAGTTAGTTTATGAGTCACATGTACTAAGCGGTGAACCTATAGTGCCATACAACTCGCACAATACCAAACTTCGTCCTCTTACTGAGACTTTGTACACCCCTATTGACGAAGAGAGGATTTCACAATCCACAACCTATTTGAAGAAATGAAAGGTATGACGTCATAATTGTATAAATTCAAAACACAGGACAATACTCCACAGGATTACGTTTCTGAATGGTTACGTAAAATCTGTTGTGAAAATATGAAAATAAATGAATAATGCTTTCTTTATCAACGTACCCATACAAGTAGACAGGCGTACAATCGCTTTTGTTACTTGTGGTTATATAATTCGTTTTAAAAATATATTTTCCTGGAATTAACCAGTTTATTTTTATAGCAATATGCTTGGTTGTAACTTCGATTAACTTTATTGCTACATTTTTATAATGCGACAAGCGTGTTCTCACATTTACATACATATTGGATAATGTATCAGAGAGATTGTTAAATAATTATATTGTTTTTTGAAAGTGTAACGATTGGAGTTTCTTGTGCGTTCTTCTCCATTCGAATCTTCATTTCGGCATTAGCAGCTAGCTTCACTGAATGATAGACTATTATTTATTTTGAATTTGTTGATGTTTCAAAAGTATCAAATTATAGTTTAATTGAAATAAGTGACTTTGACTTTGACTTTGCAAAATTTCACTATACATGAAGAGAGGCGAATTTGTTATGAAATTATTTTGGAAGGTACTTTAATAGATTTACTGCCTCGTTGACAGAGTGGTCGCAAGTGCGACTGCCGGGCAAGGGGTCTCAGCTGCGATTCCCGGGTCGGGCAAAGAATTAGTGGGTTTTTCAAAAATTTCATAGTTATAGTAGCACGGAATCTGGAATTGTGCCCGGTATTTGGCAATAGGCTCACCCCCTATTACATGGGACTCGTAATATAAATAGTGAAAAGTGGGTGTTACATTGTACAGTGGCATAATGTACACCTCTGCCTACCCTTTCGGGGATAAAAAGCGTGATGTTATGTTATGTTTAATAGGTTAATTGTTTTGAAATAAATGAAATCTCACCGTCAATATCAACCCTCGTTTCACGTGGAAAAACTGAAGGCCACTCAGAGCAACTGTGTCTCCATGTATCTGGTCCAGGAACCTTTCCACCTGTAATTTACATTATGTTAATGACAGTCATTGGTCCAAGGATCACAAAGAAAACTCTCAATGTCAAAGACCCTAGGGAAAGGTATCGTGAAGACGTGCGTACAAGTGGCGAGGGACTCACTGATGTGACATTATAATATAAAAAAATATGATTTGGGATCTTTTTCTAGTAGATATTTTGTCAGAACCTTTAAGCAATGCAGCACGATCTATTGTAAGGATGTTGCAACAGTGATGACCCGCTGGTATTTGATACTTCTAATTAATTTTTAGTTAATTTAAAATCCTTACTAATATTATAAATCGGAAAGTGAGTTTGTTTGTTTGTTTGTTTGTTCCGCTTCCACGCCGTAACTACTAAACCGATTGCTTTTTATTTTTGCAGACGTAAAGTTAGAAGCCTGGATTAAATAATAGGGTACTTTTTATCCCGGACAAATTTGATATTCCCGAGGGAAAACAAAAGTATTGGTATAGATGTGTATTGGTATACGTCACATAGCTACTGCTACTATTTATCCTTTTGTGACGCGAGCGAAGCCGCGGGCTACGATGGAATCTCCAACGATCCTCAAACTCCTAATCCCCAAAAACCCGGTAACGCACTTGTAACGCCTCTGGTGTTCCAGGTGTCCATGGGCGACGCCGATTGCTTACCATCAGGTGATTCGTCTGCTCGTTTATCGGCTTATGCCATAAAAAAAAAGATAATAAAAAAAACGTGCGTACAATCATCTGTTTATTTGTTTTTTTTAAGATATTCTATAGCAGTATTAATTATGTCCTGGGTAAAAACCTGATGGTCCCAATGAGGTAAAGTCAAAACTGTTGTCACAATAAAATTTATTGCTGTTTTGACCTGACCATTATAAAGAACCACTACACAGAAATTACCCTTCTATCTAGCCCTTTACTACACAATAACATAACTTCACAGTGTTTATCCCCGAAGGGGTAGGCAGAGGTGCACATTACGGCACTTAATGCCACTGTACAATATAACACCCATTTTTGACTATTTATATTATGAGTTCCATGTAAAATACCAATTGCCATATATCGGGCACAATTCCAGAGTCCGTGCTGCTACTGAGATTTATAAAATAACAGTAATACTTTGCTCGATCTGGGAATCGAATCCGAGACCCAATGCCCGGCAATCGCATTTGTGAACACTCGGCCAACGAGATAGTCAACTACAAATAAGTATCTTGTTATTTACAATTTACAACACATAAACATAAATAAGTCTAATAATTTCTCGTAACATCGTAATTTTACTTTGTATACATTTCTAGTTCACCCAAAAGTTCAGTAAGTACATGTTTGTTTACGAAACTTCATCGTGGTGAGGTGAGTTCGGTAAAAATAATCCTGTTACAACAACTTAGGAAATTTACTTTATTTGTGTTTAGAACTGTTATACAAGTTATTTTGTCGTTGAGAAATCATTCTTATTGTGATGTAAATAATTATTTTTATCGTAAAAATATTGCCGTATTGTTTAAGATTTTTTTATATATATTTGACGGGCCGATGTTTGGCTACTATCTCGTCTGGTGGTAAACGATAATGCAGTCTACGATGGAGCACGTCATCCCATAAGCAACCTATTCACTCGGGCCTTGAAGACACCCAGGTTATAATACCCTTCAGGAAATACAGACTCTGGCAAAGAAGTATGCACAAGGCAGTTTAAATTTCCACGAATACGATTTTTTTTGTTTGGGTGCCTTGATCTTTAGGTTCTATATCAGCGAAGTTATTCTGTTACTCTTAAGCTTATTCCGTACAAAGTTTCTAATATCTACTTGGTTGGATTTGCGCCACTACCTATTTTCCTCTTTACATTAGGATCAACAAATAAAATAATACATTATGGTTGAAATTTCATCATAATTTAAATATAATCAATCCATAACATAAGTTCTCGGATTATAGACTAGAGCGCGCAATAGTAAATAGATGTTGTCAACTCTCCGCAGGCCTTGTTATATATTGTATATGTTACTGTAAAAGCTCGAACTACGGTAAATCTTAAGATTTAAGTGTAAGTCTTAGGATTTACCGACATGAGTTGGTAAATGTAAGTATTTCTGAAGATACGACGTTTTTTTCTAGCTTTTACCATTCGAACTCAGTATATGCTAGGTTTTACCACTGTCAGCTGGTAAATGTTGGTTTTAGGAATAAAACAATGAGTAATTTTAATTATTTACTTTGAAATAATAGACAAAACCGGTACATATACTGAATACTGAAACGTTACTCAATTTTAAGTCGTGCTCAAATATCGTGCCATCTCTGTCATTTTACAAAGAATTAGTGGTGACAGAACTATTCTTAACTCGTCGAGTACCGGTTTTGTAGACACAATTATAGAACAATAGGTTGCGGTCACCGGTGACCGCTTGGTGCTTGACAGTTTAAGCGCGACTTAAAATTGAGTAGCGTTTCAGTATTCCGACAATAGTCTTATAAAGATATCATAATGATAGTAACAAGTACAAACTAATATCAACTTATTAAAATTATTTTGAAAAAACACGTATCTGAATATCTTAATCTCTGCCATATCTATCTAACTGAATCAGTACTTCTCTATTTGGAATTTATCAACGAAATACAAACATAATGCTTATAAAAGCTAGTCTAACTTAATTATTATTTTTCTTATTATTTGGTTTAGAAGTAAATAAAGATAATCAAATGTAATTGATTAATAGGTAAGGTTCCTAAAAAAACATTTTCTTTAATGTTCCTTCTTTAAATGTTCTTTGCAGTTTTTACTTCCTTTAAACACTTAGCGTATTTGTTAATATCTTTTTGTTTGCCACAAGCTCGTCCATTATTTAATAAAATTTGTTTAAGGCTTGGAGCTTCATTTTGTTCACCTCATCGTTGTCGTTGTGGTGAAGATGTCAACAGCCTTGGACACCACGGCTTGTCATGTAGCCGTAGTGCGGGCCGTTTTGCTCGACACGCAAGTATTAATGACATAATTCGTCGAGCTCTTGCCTCCGTTGGCGTGCCAGCTACTTTAGAACCTAATGGCTTGGTACACGACGATGGCAAGAGACCCGACGGTATGTCATTATTCCCTTGGAAGATGGGTAGGGCTTTAGTATGGGACGCCACTTGCGTTGATACTCTGGCGCCATCCCATCTTACAACCTCAAACGGCGAAAGTATAATAGCATGATTGGCAACTATGCTTTCAAACCGTTTGGGGAACACATCTTCTTTACAAAGATATTGTAAGGAGGATGGTTGACACTTCAGGTGATTGAAGGGCTGGCTACTACCTTGGGCAAAGGTTAAGCATTGCCATTCAACGTGGCAATGCTGCCAGTCTTTTGGGCATCCTACCTCACGGTAGCGATGAGGAAAATGTTTTCTTTGATGTCTTATGATTTATTTTTATTATTATTTTTTTTAAGGGATAAAATCTTTGCTTCATACTCATTTTTATTCATAAATAACTTTTAAACACCAAAAATATAATTATAAATCAATTTATCGTGCGAGTTCAAACGTGTCAAACGAGCGATTGAGGCGAGCGGAGTGGCGGAGACGGTGCGCGGGTAGCGGGGGCGGCAAGCTACAAGTCGATGCGCTGAGCACATTATGACATGTTTTGTTTTTCTACATTTACCATGCCGTTGATAAAAATCCTAAGATTTACCAACGGAATGGTGGTAAAAGTTCGAATCGCAAATTTTTTTGGACATTTACCTTTTGGAATTGGTAGATCTTAGGTTTTACTGGAATATCTTAGGATTTACTGCAGTTCGAGCTTTTACAGTAACATATATACTAATTTAATGACATTCTAGTTTAATTAAATATTAATTGTATTATATTAATTGTATGATTTTTATTGTCCTGTCTATATCTATTTACTTGTATATTTACCTATTAAATATATATAATGTGTATTCACATTAGTTTTTAAGTTAAATGCTACTAACAAGAATATGGACATGGTCTGAAATAAATGATAATTATTATTATCATATAGAAATAATTCTCACCTCCACGCAATAATTAGCAGAAGACACATCGTACAATGCATGTGCTGGCTCGATACTGGCAGCATGCACTTTAGAGGCAGTCAGAGATACTGCCAGCGATCTGATGACGAGGAACAGGAACGAATAGACGAAGTATACTGAGTGCTCGTAGCCACCGAAGAGTCTGTAGATGAGTAATAATGTTCATGTCAACTTTCATTAAGTAAGCGTGGTGATTATTTTATTACTTAGAATGGTATGTGGAAGTGCGGAGGCTCCTGGCACAAGCAATCCATTGTTTAAAAGGTGATCTTCAATAATTATATCAAATCCCTGTTGTAAATGAAATAAACTTTTTAATTCTTTTTTTTTTAGGGCTCAAATTTCTCCATGCGAGAAGAGGTCTTTGGTTAGTAATGGCCACTTATGCTGTTGATGATAAAGAAGTTACAGGTCTTCAAGAGTCAGTGGCTGAATAGATGGTTGCTATTAATTAAACTGTTATTTGTCTTCTTCGGCGTGGGTGTGAATTATTGTTTCTGGTTCAGACACAGATGAATAATTTGAAATAGTATAGATATTCAACAATAATTTGGAATGCAGTGATAAATAGGTAAATATTTTACATACCGTCGATCTGCGGTCAGGTCCGATCTGCATTTAGGTGATGCTTTTATGCCCCCGCTGTGATGTTAACAATATAATAACATTAGGTAGACGACTTTGTAAATGAACTGATTTTGGCACCAGTTACCAACGTTAACATAGATCTTAGGAACAATTTTTATTTTTTTTCTTAAGAATAAAACTGCTGACGTACATCTAGTACAGAATAATATGTGCCTTAATGACAATTAATCTAAGAGATATCACATTTATAATCCTATCCTGCTTAATATCATAAATGCGAATGCTTCTAAGGATGTGTGTGTGCGATTGTTACTCTTTCACGTCAAAACGGCTGAACGGATCAAGATAAAATTTGGAACAAGGATGAATTATAGTCTGAAATAATATGTAGGGCACTTTTTCAACGGGACGCGGGCCAAGTCCCTGGTAAACCCGAGCGTATGGCGCGTCCCGTTCCGCGCGCGCCTTAATGAGCCATCAGACCACCACACAAGGGGCCTAATAGGGCTGATACCGATTCGGAGTCCCGGAGAACCTAACGGGTAACCGGAGCTCCGGTTCAAAGTGCAGGAAGAGGAACGGGGTGGTTTTTAGTCAGTAAGAGTCTGAGACTCCCTCCCGCCTTACCTAGGCGGGAGAAGTCATCCAATGATTTTCCGCCCTTAAATAAATAAATAAATAAATGTCACTGATAGAAGCTAATTGAAAATACTTACGCAAGTGTATGCAGCAGCTGTGAGCACACGAAGAACAAATTACTAGCAAAGGATATGAACACGACACCGCCAATGATCTTGTCGACTTGTCGCACCAAGTGAACCGATCTGTTGTAGTCCTCGCGCATCGTACGCCAAAACGATGATGGTGAGTTCTGAATAAAATACAAAACGATGATGGTGAGTTCTGAATAAAATACATACAAAATTCGACGTATTGTATTGTGTTTGCGATTGTCTCGTTAATTGAGTGGTCATATATGTCGATGAAACTTCGAGTTTGATCCTTGGCAAACAGTTATGAATTTTAATTTGATTGTAGTAAGAATGTATTTTGTTGTACGCTTTGAACTAGAGCATGAGGCATTGATTTCGATCCTTGAATGAGCAGTTGTGAATTATTATTATTACGACTTAATTACCAAACCAATTTAACTAAATTAAAGTTCAGAGATAGATATAACCTTGGAAACGTGACTTAAGTGTTACCTTGATTTTGAATGAAAGGACATCAACCACTTTGTATGAAGTTTGGGCTAGATAGAACATGATCATAAAAAAATGCACTATTTTAGATTTTATTGCGTGGCTTACAATACAAAGAAAACGTATCGATTAGAAGTTTTGTATCAAATTGATTAATATAATACAAAACAAAAAAAAATATATTTTTAAAAATATTTTTTTTATTTGTAAAACTATTCATTTTCATATGTTAACAAAACATGGTCTAAAAACTGAGCAGGTGGAGTTACATTTTCATACCTTGCCCAGCTTAAATACCATACCACAGACATGATATGAGCGCAGCAACAATCAGAATATTCAATTTAATATCTTTTTTAATCTTTTTTATTATTATTTACTTTGACACTCCCGAATAGAGACTATGTTTATTAAATATTATTACTAAATTATGTCTAAATTCCTTTTTTTCCAATACGGTTGTTCAACACTTAGCCCATTTTGGTTGAAGTCCTTTATACAATACTAGTGACCCGCCCCGGCTTCGCACGGGTGCAATATGCATGTATTATACATACAAACCTTCCTTAAGAATCACTCTATCTATTAAAAAAAACCGCATCAAAATCCGTTGCGTAGTTTTAAAGATCTAAGCATACATACGGACATACAGCGAAAGCGACTTTGTTTTATACTATGTATTGATGAGCACAAACAAATCAGTCACTGTTCTTACAACCACATTGTTTTTCTATTGGGTATACGCATACCTTATCTTTAGCGGCTATAATCCTCTGATTGACTTGCTCCAGCCTCGCCGTCAAGTACATGCTCATACATATGACGAACACATCAGTAAAGTTCCAGTTAAAAGTGCATTGTATGTTGAAGAACTGAAAGATATTTAAATCTTTCTTTTTATAACATAACATAACCTTTTTATCCCCGAAAGGGTGGGCAGAGGTGCACATTACGGCACTTAATACCACTATACAATGTAACACCCACTTTTCACTATTTATGTAATGACTCCCATGTAATAGGGGGTGAGCCTATTGCCATATATCGGGCACAATTCCAGACTCCGTGCTTATACTGAGATTTTTAAAAACCAAGTAATACTTTGCCCGACCCGGGAATCGAACGCTGGACACCTTGCCCGGCAGTCGTACTTGCGACTCCTCGGCCAGAGCGAGGCAGCCTGACAAACTTTTTTTTATAAATACTAGAATCAATTTAAATAGATCAACAAAATGCCGTAGTGGGACGGAGGTTTAAGACGCCCGCTTCTAATGCATGAGGTTGTTGATGTTATGTTTCATTTGAAGTACAACAGATATGGAAATAACTTGTAAAAGTCACATTGGTGCAGTTGGTAGATTTCGAGCCCGCACCCTCATGCACGAAAAGTGGGCGTCATAAACCACTACGACTCGAACATTTGAAATAGAAATAATAAATTCTTATTATTTACATAGGGTTGGAAAATGATGACTATCCTTACTAGTCCTTACTATAATATTATAAATCGGAAACTGAGTTTGTTTGTTTGTTTGTTCTGCTTTCAAGCCGTAACTACTAAACCGATTGCTTTGAATTTTCGTAGACGTAAACTTAGAAGTCCGGATTAAATAATAGTGTACTTTTTATTCCGGAAAAATTTGATGTTCCGAGAGAAAACAAAAGAATTGGTATAGATGGCGCTGTGTCTATTGGTATATGTTACATAGGCTACTTTTTATCCTTTTGTGACGCGAGCGAAGCCGCGGGTAAAAGCTAGTAGTTTAATACATGTTAAATGAAACCAACAGCGTTATAATGCAGTTAATACTTACATGGGCAAGAAATCCTATAAAATCGTTGTATGGTAGATATAAAAACAGCCAAGCAAAACTACCCTTTATAAACGATTCATATAAAGGCTTTTCAGGGTGACAATCCAGTGCTATGGAAATTCCATGTAATTCTGAAAATCCGTGCTCCACTGAAAACAGAATTTCAAGCATAATAAAAGATTACACCATAACTGATATTATTTATCAATTATAATTAAACATAACTAACAATTTTCTCCTTTTATCTTGAACCTTATAGTTAATTAGCTACTTCTGCGCAGTTTCACACGCTCTGCTCACCTCTAATTAGTCGTAGCGTGATCTTTTATAGCCTATAGCCATCCTCGATAAATGCGCTATCCAACACAAAAATAATTATTCAAATCAGACTTGTAATTACGGAGATTAGCGCGTTCAAACAAACAGACAAACAGACAGACAGATATAATAATATAAAGTGGAAGAGTTTGTTTTTTTGTATAAGATATAAGATGTAAGAGTTAAATAAAACTTACCAAAAGCCAATAACAGTATTACTACACAAGTAATGTTAAACTTTCTATTCAATTTCGCATCTGTGTTAGGTTCAGCAGATTCTGCCTTCGCTATAACCATACACAACTGCGGCCATTTTGTTGCGATCCTTAAGAATATTACCGTCGTCGAGAAACCAAAACCGTAGAATAATAATGTAGCTGAAATCAAATAATAATTAGTTCCATTAATAGATTTAATATAAAGAAAATGGATGTGTCTAGTTTGTTTGTTAAATTACCCCAATGTTCTCATTCCCCGAATCTCAAATAATCCTCATATACCTAATACCTAACACACTTGTAACCTCTGGTGTTTCTGGGTCCGTGGGCGGCGCCGATTGCTTACCATCAGGTGATCCGTCCGCTCGTTTTTCGGCGGCTTATCTCTTAACCTTTTCAATGCACCGATTTGAGATACAATAGAAAATACATTGCGCCTCGCGTGGATCCACGTCTTAGACATACGAAAGATTCAAAACCTACCAATGGCAAGTATCAATGTGACATTTTCCGACTGCCTCGTTGACCGAGTAGTCGCAAGTGCGACTGCCGGGCAAGGGGTCTTGGGTTCGATTCCCGGGTCGGGCAAAGTATTACTGGGTTTTTAAAAATCTCAGTATTAGCACGGAGCCTGGAAATGTGCCCGGTATATGGCAATAGGCTCACCCCCTATTACATGGGACTCGTAACATAAATAGTGAAAAGTGGGTGTTACATTGTACAGTGGCATTAAGTGCCGTAATGTGCACCTCTGCCTACCCCTTCGGGGGTAAAAAGGCGTGATGTTATGTTATTTTCCGAGTACATAAAGTACTTTCGAAGATTATGTAGACACCACTGACACACTAGTTATAAGCCTGAAATGGCCAACCCCCATTGAGCGAGCGTGGTGATTAATGCTGAAGCCTTTGACTGCCGTCAGAAAATTGCTGTAGGTAAATGCTCCGCTAACATAGGTCACCGGTGACCTACGCAGCGGTTAACGTGTTAAACCTTCTCCGTGTGGAAGAGACCTTTGGTCAGCAGTGGCCACTTATAGGCTGTTCATGATGATGATGATGATGACAGAAACATTGTTTCATCTAATTTACATCCTAGACGATTGACGACTTACTTAGAGTTAAGTTCGTTCATGTAGATCAGGGTTGTCCAAACAAAGGCCCGCGGGCTGTATGCGGCTCGCGACACATACACACATACACAATATCAATATCTTCGCTGCCTCGTTGGCCGAGTGGTCGCAAGTGCGACAGTCGGGCAAGGGGTCTCGGGTTAGATTCCCAGGTTGGGCAAAGTATTACTGGGTTTTTAAAAAATTCTCAGTAGTAGCACGGAGTCTGGAATTGTGCCCGGTATATGGCAATAGGCTCACTATTACATGGGACTCATAACATAAATAGTGAAAAGTGGATGTCTCTGCCTACACCTTCGGGGATAAAAGGCGTGATGTTATGTTATCTTCATCTTATGTGCAACAACAATAATAAAATTCAGTGTATGATTTGTATACAAGTTTTGTCTTTAAATAAAGAATACAATGTTAAACGTCATTATACAACTGAAAATATTTCTCTGGCCCTCCAGCTTTAGCCCGCGAGGGTGTATAGTTTGGACAGCCCTGGGGGCTTACTTTTGAATCCAATCCCGATCGATCGACATTAGTATTGTGAAATTTCGTACTCTTGAATTACAACACTAGCGCCCATTGCATCCGTATTGCGTGGATATTGAATGAACTAAATGGTATTGAGTTTGAGTTTATATTTCGTACTCTGAATGCTATTGTAACAGCTACGATTGTGGTTGTATAATGTTGACATTGATTAATTATTGAGATTTTATTGGATTGCAATTGCATTGACATTGAGATTGGTTTCAAGAGTAAATACCCTGTTCTAGATTAATGCTTGCAAATGTTTGTAATTACTAACTTGCAGTGTCCACAGTAGAAGATGCTTCTTTGAACAAGCTGAGGAATAGTACGAATGCCATAGTAAAGTGGCCCAATAATGATATTGCCGTGTATGCGCAGCGCCATGACAGAAATTTAAATCTGGAAAAGATGATATATGTAGATTTTAATTCCATTGCTCTCATATCATATATTTGCGACTAGCCTGACGTCAGAGATCACGTCAGGTTGTCATACGAATATAATGGAACTACGCATTTGATAGATATGGCCAACAGCGCCCTCTGATAAGCTGGAGATAGTTAGCCCTCTTATGTTGAGCAAATCTTTATTTTATGAATAAACCGTAAGGAATTGTTGCTGGTCTAACCATACCTTAACTTAGCAGGATCATTCTCACGGATGCCCTGAACTGGATTCAATCCGAAACATTGTCCTATGGTCAAGGTCACCTTCATGGCGGATTGGAAGGTGGAACATGGTTTTTCTTTCACGGGTATAACCGGTTCTTGAAAGCGGATGTTTACTGGATCTGAGTAAAAGTAGATAGTTGTAGATTACGACACGGAGTTTTAAAAAAAACAAACTCTAACTAACATTAGCCCGTTGAAAATTGTTGAAAATCATCCCCTAAATATGTTCATACAAAAGTAGTCTCTAAACATTGGAAATAAGGTCGATAATATAGTTAGTAGATAGCGGTCACCGGTGACCGGTTTATTACTGATGTTATGATGAATATTTCTTGTTCGACTAACTTATTACTGGGTTTGAACGCAAACACCGATGTTTTGTTATTTAACGTATAAGAAAGTAAAATATTTATTCCTGTTTCATGTATTAAAATTTTACTACTTTTTCTTAGAACATAATTAAACTTAATCGTTTTACTTGCGTTAACAAACAGTCAAATGGCACACATATACACACACACACTATTAAGTTATTTTTTATCTTACTCTATTTCGAGTACTTCAGAATATTAATACCATTTCCCCTTTTAGTTTCTTTTCCTTAAGCCTTTGACTGCCAACAGAAACATATTGAAGGCAAATCCTATGCTAACGTAAATCACCGGTGACCTATGAGGCAGTTAACGTGTTGACTATCAACAGATACTTTTTATAAGTCATAAATCACAAAATAGACTCCACAGCGTAAAATCAACCACACAGAAATACAAGTACTTTAAAAACAACTATAAAATACTTCATTAGGTGCCCGCTCAAATGAACGTAATGTCGTATTTCGGCGTAACTTATTTGCTTTTAGGCTTCCTTTTAGTATTTAAGCTCTTGGGAAAAATATATCTTTGTACTTAGTCCTAGATTACATTACGGCTGGATATGAAGTCACTAAAAGTTTGCTGATTTAGTTTAGTAAATTTTCTTAGTTGGACAATGAATTACTGTATTGTAGAAAGTTTTGAAATGGGTCTAGAAGTAATTATTTGTTTGTAAGTATTGTTTCGTTATAGTATTACTAGATTGCTATTTTTAGTCTGTGTTTGAGTGCTAATTTTATTCACAGCTTCTTTAAAATCTTAGAAAACAAAATTATTTAATTGTCTTCGCACCTCCGCACGGAACAACTTTTTGTTTGATCCATAAATTGTTGTTTCGGGTCTACGTGTTATGTGTATGTGAACTTGTATGTTTGTAAACGCACCCCGACACAGGAGACAATCCTAGTGTGGGGCAACTTCTTTTTAATTGTGCTGGCAACATAACAGATTATTAGCTGATAAAAATAATTTTATTTCGCCATCCCAACATTTTTGATTAACTTTAAAGTTGATCTTAAATTCTTATCCATAATTATAATTCTTAGTTCAGAATCGATGCGGACTAACTTTAGCGGGAAGGTGCCATTATATCGTTTAATACTCCTGTTTGTTCTGATGAACTAAAAAGTTTTTATTGCGAAAATAAAACGGATTGTTTCACTCTAACAACTGAAATATAAAATCGAATAAAATTCAAAAACTTTTCACAACTGACCTAAAATTGTGATAACTTTAAATTAGTTTAAGTTGCAATGCCCAAACGTACGTTTAGCTGCAAATAAATACGCACTTATTAGGAAAGTTCTAATCAATGATTTTTCAAAGGTAGGAATTTCACCTGCATTGTGAGTAAATTAGAACAATTTAGGTCTATTTCAAAAATTTTGTAACTAAATTCTATACTTCCACCTAATTTCCTATCTAAATAATTCCAAATACGTAACCACAATCTAGAATTTGTACCAAAATCTTTTTACAAGAAGGAAACACATAATAACACAAAAACAGATAATACTTACAACTCCAATCTTTCTTATATTTTTTAAACTTTTCCAACGAATATAAGTCCATGGTATATGTCGGTGCGATTTTCCCCCATGATTTGAACAAGCCATTAACAGTGTTTACACTTCTAACACCGATGTTACTGATAACTGTATTCCATATATTCCGCATTAGGGTTCTGTAAAAGTAATATAATATTTATTTATTGCAATTGCACTTGAACTATTAATCCTTGTTATTGCAATTACAATTGCAATGTGTACGCGTCTGTGGAGTGCAGTTTATCCGTTGTGTGTGTACGGGATGATGTGAAACTTAAATGTGGTAAATTATATTTTGACAGATATGTGATTAACTTAAAATCGCGGATTTCTCACGTGAATATACCGAGAAAAGCTCTACTAGTTTCGAGTCACATAGGCAGTCGCGGCGATGTCACGCAACCTTCTGCTGTTCAGGAAGAACCCCTCTGTGGTTAGAAACTAAAAAAAATTAGAGCTTTTCTCACTATATTATTTACGTGAGTAACCCGCGATTATTAGTTAATTTAGTATGTCTCACGATAGTTATTATTAAAACAGATATATGATTAAATAAAAATCTATAATTATAGAGATATAGTGATCATAATTTGTGACTTATGACTGTATTCTCTAAGGTCGATTATATTGTGAATAATAATTACAAAAAGCACCCTTTGTAAGCTATTATTACCTACTTTATTTACTGCCAGTATTAGTAATATTAAGTCAAAAGATATAGACTGATAATTACAAAAAATTGGAAAAACAAATTATATACAATTTAAATTACAGTCTATTTTTTATTGATGAACTAGCTGAGCCCGCGACTTCATCCGTGTCGAATAGTGATTCACAGTTCCTACCCTGTAGTTGATAGCATGACAATATTATGTTACCTATATTATTGACTTGACCTGTTAGTAATATTCATGCAAAATTTGAAGTAAATCCGTGCAGTACTTTTTGAGTTCATCCCGGACATACACACAGACAAACAAACAAAAATTCAAAAAACTATATTTTTTTGTTTCGGTGTTGACTGTAGATCACGCTCAAAGCATTATTTAAAAAAAAATATTGATTTACAGTTTTCACTAGCCTACGATTTTATTATATGTATAGATATGTATATCAGAATGAAGATACTAAGTAAATAATACAGTTAAACTATTTTTAAAATGCTACCGTTGTTTAGCACATACTTATTTTTTCAAGTTTACAATTCCAGTCATCACATCACTTGCTCACTTACATTTAACTCACGATGCAGCTAATATATTAACTTTACTTCAGAATTCTATATGACCTTGAAATGTCAAGTCACTTAATTTGTTTTCGGATTTTATGCCCCAAATTACTCACTCGAATTAACACGTCGAGTACCGTCATTATAGACACAATTATAGAACAATAGGTTGCGGTCACCGGTGACCGCTTGGGGTTTGACAGTTTAAAGGTTAGTACATAAAACAATTTTGAAGGGAGTACTCGTGTTTCAGGTTTAATAATTATAACAGTGTTAATAGACTGTTGACATCGTTCAGTCAAGTTTGTAGTTGGGTTATATGTATTTTTTAATGCATAAGCTGGTAAACGAGCACGCAGATCACCTGATGGTAAGCAATCGGTGCCGGCCATGGACACCTGTAACACCAGGGGCGTTACAAGTGCGTTACTTACGTTTTGGGAATTGGGAATTTGAGGATTGTGGAGGATTCGGGGATTGGAGAGACTGGAGAGGGGAGGTAATTGGTCTCCGGTAACCTCACTCACATTACGTTGTTTCACGTCAGTTTTCTATGAGGCCATGGTATCACTCCGATCCAGCTGGTCCATTCGTGCCAAAGCATGGCTCTCCCATACTTACATTTATGTTGTTATTTACACTTATAAAGTGAATTATCCTCTATATATTTTTCGATTACAATGATACTACAAAAAATATATTTAGATATCATTGGCTAACTGTACTTTACAATTTTTCTTTTGTACTTATTTGTTCTCTAATATTTAAGTACAAAGTAAGTACACTTAAATAAAAACTCACCCTGTACATCAAAGCAAAACACTTGACTTTACAACTTCCTAGCAACTGTATTGTTCACATACTGTTCTCTGCGCTGCTATTGAATAAAAAGATGAAAGTACTGTGATATTGTGGAAGGAACGATTTACTTTGAAATTTTGAAAACAAATGAATAGGTAAGTGAAACAAATAAATAAAATGTAACTTAAAATGTATGATATTTTAGTCTATGATTATACCTAGATATAGGAAGATGTAAACAAACTATTAAGGACCATTGTTAACAACTTTTTATGTCTAGATAAATAATAATTAAACATCAAAAATACAATAATTCAAAATTCTGACCTCAGTAACTACATTTTTTTTAACAATACAATTGTATTCTTTAAATCTTTCACCCTGTATACAATAAAACAGAAACAATAGAATATTAAAAAAAAACATTTTAGATAAATTAAACATGCAATAACAAAAAAAACATTTAAAATACAAAATTGGTTTATTTGTCACTGATCGTATAGATTAATACATGTGCTATTAAATCGTATATTGCGATCGTATTTTGTTTTCAGCCCTACATTATTATTTATTTAAAACTATCGAACATTAATGGTTTTTAAATGTTCGATAAACATGAATGGAATAATTAAACCATTTTTTTCATATTTGTTTATCACGATTGTTGTTGTTTTTTGGACAAGGGAATGATTTGACTAATGTCTAAATAACCAAACGTAACTCAATTTTAAACTGTCAAACACCAATCGGTCACCGGTGACCGCAACCTATTGTTCTATAATTGTGTCTATAATGACGGTACTCGACGAGTTAAGTCACATTTAAGTATAGTTCTGTCGCTACAAATAGGGTAGATGACTAATATTTATTTTAATGTCCGTCTGATAGATTATTTAAAAACATTAGACACGTATTTTTTATTATCTTACGTATACGAATAGTTTCGGAGAAATATTGATTTGAAATATCGCATCACTTTTGAGTACTATTTATACTCTAAAATGACGTAACTACCTCCGACTCCTAAACTTTGATTCGTTTTATCTAATAAGCATTGTTTTCTTATACGACAAAACAAAAAAAATACGTGTCTAATATTTTTTCATTACCTAACTGACGGACTAATTAGATTTTTAATTTTCTTTCCCTGTCATCATCCCCATTGTATGTAAAATGAAAGAGATGGCACGATACTTAAGTACAATTTAAAATTGAGTAGCCTTCTGTATTTAGCCCTAAGTGCCGCTTTTCCAACACCAGATAAATTTTATCAGAGGAATAGTTTTAAATATTTGACAATTCTTCCATACTAATAATAATAAATAATAACTGTCAATTTTATTCTACAGTTGAGAATTATAATCTGTTGTTTGAAAAATTGGCCCTAAAACATTGTAGTGTAGTATCGATGCCTTTAATTTCATGAATTTGAACCTTAAACGAAGTGCGAGGTTACTATTGCGATATACAATTATACATATGAGTTAGGCGAAGTATATTTTGGAATTTATTCGTTATCTACTGTTAACATTGCAAATGGTATATAAAAACATAACATCACGCCTTTTATCCCCGCAGAGGTAGGCAGAGGTGCACATTATGCCATGGTAGGTACAATGTAACACTCACTTTTCACTATTTATGTTATGAGTCCCATGTAATAGGGGGTGAGCCTATTGCCATATACCGGGCACAATTCCAAACTCCGTGCTATTACTGAGATTTTTTTAAAAACCCAATAATATTTTGTCCTATCCGGGAATCGAACCCAAGACCCCTTGCAACCACTCGGCCAACGAGGCAGGTATATAATCTACAATAGAATACCAGAATACAATTTCTTTCGGATAAACTAGGCCATTGGCAAACCTGAGCATCGAACCCATGTCTGACATTCACACTTTCATCACAACAGTGCCAAATTTCATATTCAATATCTCCTAGATTATTCAAATACCTCAAATACCATCCAGGCATTCTTTAAAAAGATTACTCAAGCAAAATTGTACCATAAAACACATTTTTCATGTAGATAAGTTATAAAAATTGAATAATTATAATGGTATTTCTTGATTAAACTTAGGTACGAAATTGAGTCATAAAACCTGTAATATGGACAGCGCTCAACTTTTTAATAAGTTCTGTGTCGTCTTGTCATAGATTAAAAATACTTGTATCTCGATAATGACATATTTTTATTTCTTTTTTATTTAAAAAAAAAACGTTTCCCCACACTAGGATTTTCTCCTGTGTCGTGGGTGCGTTTACAAACATACAAGTTCACATACACAATGGCACCCAGACCCGAAACAACAATTTGTGGATCACATAAAGTGTTGTTCCGTGCGGGAATCGAACCCGCGACACGTTGCTCGGCAGCCGGTTGCCCAGCCACCGCACCAACCGTGCAGTCAATGTACGTTATACAAGAAAAAAACTTTCTATTGTTATAATCTTCAACAATCTATAAGTGCCCACTGCCGAGCAAAGCTTTTTCTCACACGGAGAACGTTTGAGCATTAATCACCACGATTGCTCAATTCAGGTTGTAGATTTCAGACTTATAATTAGAGATTATAAGCGCACGTTTCCTCACGATGTTTTCCTTCACCGTTTGTCAGTGGTGTCTAGATGATCTTAGAAAGAATATAACCTATGTATATAACTTGGGAAAAGTCACATTGGTACTTGCCGTTGGCAGGTTTCGAATCCGCACCCTCATGCATGAGAAGCACGTCTTAAACCATCGGGCCACCACGACCATTAAACCACTATTGTTATAATAAACATTAGACATTAATTATTTCTTTTTTTTCGAATGGTTGTATTCAAACACAAAATATCATACGCACAAAGGAAAATAGATCACACAAGAAGGTGTTCCGTGCAGGAACCGACCACGTGAAATTTTGCGCATTGCCTACCTAATGAGTGAGCAGTATAATCAATGATAATGTAATATATCTTCCTCATTTGAACTTCAAAACTGGTTATTCACAGATTATAGATCATATAAGAATAACTCTTTATTTCATTACAAACCACACCTTTACAAAGACTAGACAACCGACCTCTTTGAAAGAGTTACTCACCTATTAAGT